CTCACTGTATATACACATACAAAAGTTCTGAACCTTTATTCTCATTGTTTCTACAGATCGTAATTTGAATTTTTTTTTTGCTAAAAGTATTATTATATTATTGATCGATTGACTATGACTTTTCAGATCACCCAGAAGTCACCTCGATATTACTAAAGGTATCCCACAGGGGTAGATTTTGGGACCTGTCCTCTTAACTATTTATACAAATAATATTGGTCTATCTGCAAAAACCTGTAACATTACATTTACATTTTAGTCATTTAGCAGACGCTCTTATCCAGAGCGACTTACAGTTAGTGAGTGCATTTTCATACTGGCCCCCCGTGGGAATTGAACCCACAACCCTGGCGTTGCAAGCGCCATGCTCTACCAACTGAGCTACACGGGACAAACTACATTCATCTGTATGCAGATTAAATTTATGTACGCTATTGCACCTACGACTGACCAGGCTGTTGGAGCTGCAATTCCGCCTTGCAGAAAGTCCTTGTTGATTTCAAATTGGTACTTAATGCAGGAAAAACTAAATGTATGCTGTTTCTTATTCTCTTAGAAATATTTCAGATGGCTTACACATTTATGCATTGAATGGTTCTTTCATCCTGTAAATAGCTGGCGTTTTGGATTGACAATAATTTGACGTTTAAGAGCTAAACAGCAGGAAGCAGATTATAGTCAACTTTCCCGCCAGTTCCTGACTATGGTGACACCATTTATCGGAATGCAGCAGCCACTACTCTTGAACCTTTGGATGCAGTCTACCATAACGCCCTTCGCTTTATCACAAGTGTTTTAATACGCATCACTGCATCCTGTAACAAAAGGTTGGATGGTCCTCAATAAAGTCCTGTAGATCACTTCATTATTCCCTCTTTGTTTACACAAGCTTCCGACTGACCTCACTGTTAAAATGTAAACATATGAGACACCAAAACCATTCACAGGGATGGTTAACTCAAGGTTCCACTACTACGTACCGATTTAGGTAAATCTGCCTTCAGTTTTGGTGCCCCCCATTTTTGGAATAGCCTACAAAACTCCCTACATCTTGACTCGCTGGTGCCTCTAGGGCAGTTTAGGACTTTGATGTTGAGAATTGCAACTGTTTGGATTGAATAATTGTATTTGTGGTGTTTGAAGCTGTAGTGTTGATTCTGTAATTTGTAGTTTATGTTTTATTGATCATCATTTTGAATTTGTTATATTGTTGTCCTCAGGGCACCATTGTAAATGAGACCCTGATCTCACTAGGTTCCCATTAATAAATACAAGTTAAATAAAAAATAAAACACTTAAGGGAGATTCTGGAGTGGAGCCCGAGAAAGCATTTTCCAACACCGTCAACAAAACACCAAATGATAGAATTTCTCATGGAAGAATGGTGTCGCATCCCTCCAAAGTTCCAGAGACTTGTAGAATTTATGCCAATACGCATTGAAACTGTTCTGGCGGCTCGTGGTGGCCCAACACCCTATTAAGACACCTTATGTTGGTGTTTCCTTTATTTTGGCAGTTACCTGTATATTTCCTCTTCAAATCTTTATTGAAAACATAAATACATCTGCACAATGAGAACTTGTTGTCTCTCAAATACATCGTTACAGCTGTTGGTTAGCTAGCTAACACATTTTTGCCATATTAGCATAGACGTGACGAGTCAAAACAAGACGCATCAATAACAAGATCCAACTAGCTGAAATAGGACACCTACAATACCTCACATGGCAGTTTCTTGTCATTGTTGCTAGCTATCTGTCCGTCCAAAATCATAACACACAGACTTCTGCCCCATCGACGCGCATACATTGACTTTGTGATGTTGTCAGCTAACCCGTCTATTGCAGAATCCTCTAACTGGTCCTGGAGAGCTGCTGGGTGTGGTGGCATTTGTTCTAGCCCATTATTAAGAAACCGGATTCTGCTATTGATGGCCCAGAGTCTGAATTAGGTGTGATATTAATGGACTTGAATAAAAGTATGCACATGCAGTAGATCCCCAGGACTGGAGTTCAGAACACTGCAGTATTGTACATGTACTGTAAATATATGCATGTTCAACTGAAGAAGACTCATCAAAGCTGTATAAAACTCAATGCTTAACATCCATATGTAATCCCTAAGATCCAACATCAGTCAACTGAGCACTGTCACTGCAACACAGAGCCTGCACTTCGATTCAGTCCCACTGAACCTGGAGTAAAAAAAGATATGCTAGACAATTAATTAATCCCATGTTTACACCAATACAATGTTTCAATTCATGAGGAGGGGGGGGTCTGTAGCCTGGTCCCAGATCTGTTTGTGTTCTTGCCAACTCCATTGCACATAGTCAAGCCATTTTTGACATGATAGCACAAACAGACTGGCACTCAGGCTAAAGTGTACTGGGTAAGAGAGACTGTTTACCAGCTCAAGCTTCTGCTTCTCTTTACTCTGCAGCTTGTCAATGTGTTCAGAGAGATCTGGACGGTCGAAGTCTTGGTGCAGCCGCTCCTTGATCTCCAACACCTCCTTCGAGAGACCGCAGAAAGCCTGCGTTATCTCGTGCACCAGCTGTCTGTAGTGGTCAAAGTCATAGTGGGGCCCTGTCCTCAAGTATGCTTCATGGCCTCTGGAGAGAAATAAACAACATGATGTTAATTAGACCACCTTCATCAACCTACTTTAAGTGAACATAAAGGCAGGAGGTGCATCTATGTATCAATTTTGAAAATAATTTAGGCCTACTTACTCGTCGAAAAGCCTGTAAGCTTCTACCCTTTCAGCTTGAACGGCATAAAATCGATGGACCAATGCTTGAAAGTCTGTGGGTACCTAGGAGGATGGACATAATGTGAACACATTTTCTACATTTTAGTCATTTAGCAGATGCTCTTATCCAGAGCCACTTACAGTTAGTGAGTGCATACATTTTCATACACGAAAGATAGTTAGCATATATACCTTTACTATAACTATTTTTGGGAGCTGGTGTTAGTTAGATTGACATGGTTACAACACGTTTTGCAGAACTTGGCAACGTCTATTTAAGTTAGCTACCCCACTGGGTACAGACGTCAATTCAACGTCTATTCCACGTTGGTTCGACGTAATTTCATTGCAATGACGTGGAAACAAAGTTGATTCAACCAGTGTGTGTCCAGTGGGTAGCATTTGTTTATTAGCTAAATAACTTTAGTTAAACGACATTGTTATAGCTAGTTAGCTTGCTAGTTCCACAACAACATACCTACTTAGCATTGTAGCTAGCTTCTTAATATTGCCCTGTGTTCCTCACTTAATATATAATATTGCCCTGTGTTCCTCACTTAACTTAATTAGCCCACGCGAGCTATCTAACTTTCATATACAAACTGCATGTTGTTGCCTCAAAGAAATGTACTGCAATAATACACAAACTTACCATGGCAATGTTCTTGAAAATGTCGATGTACAGCTTGGTTAATAAGCGAGGTCTAAAACAGTAGCACGTATCGATTTACCGGTGTTCATCGCGATTCAACTATTTTGAAGACAAATATACGTCCAGTGTTTATGTTCAACCTTAAATTCTGTCCGATGGTACAACTAGAACCAGAGGTTGCTACAACCATAGAATTAGGAATTAGAAGTCCAGAATGGACGTGAACCTTCTTATAAAGGTCAGCCATTTTGGTCAGGGAGTTGGTCAACCATGGTTTGCCAGTGCTGTGATAAGATCGTGTAAAATAATGAATTTGAAGAATTTATCTGCACTGTATGTTTGTTAGCTAGCTAGCCAGACAGTTTTAGAGGAATGATTCCATTCATTTTTCTAATTAACTGCCAATTTGCCAACATTCCACTCAAACAATGCAGTCAATCCACAGCCATACACTGGCTGAAATCAGTTGATGATAGAAGTTGTAAATTCAACAAGTACTGGTATTGTATCATATAATAGCACTCGCAGCTTTCCAAGAAAACCAAAATTGAGACATTTATGGTCTGTTTAAATGTATTTTAGAGGCTATTTATTCAGAATATTTCTGTAAAACCTGTATAAACTGTATTTATAATTAGATGACAATATTCAAGGTTGACAATAATTACATTACACAATTTCTGATACATTACATGCCTTACTTTTATTTTCATGCATAAGTATCAGGATTATGCCTCTACTGCCATTCATCCCAATTAGACTGCTTTGGATTTCTCCCTGACCACTTGAGGGTTTATGACGGTTTTGTCTATTAGTGATACAGCTTTTGTCAAAATTGGCTTTTCGAAGCAGGTTAAGGAGAACTTACACAGCAGGTTAGGATAATTAATGTTGCAGGTTAGGAGAATTGGGTAAGGTTAGGAAAAGGGTTAGGGTTAGCTAAAATGAAAAAAAAATCTACTTTTGATGTAAATTCTCAATCCCATCTACACATTACCATTTATGACATAGCATAGCCCCTCTAGTAATTTAATAGGATCTCTCTATGGCTACAACATTTTACATAAAAGTAACATTAATAGTGGTCTATATTTATTTTAGAGTTCATAAGTAAATTTTACATTTTGAATTTCAAGAAACAATATTGTGTTTGCTAAACAGGTTTTGTAACACAGGTTAAGAATTTATCACTATCATCGTCACAGGATTTGTTTCAAGCCGGACATTAAAGTTGTTGTACACGCGGTTCACTTGAAAGACAAATGGCATCAAGAAAACCTCCATCTGTTCCCTAAAGTCAGAAACCTACGCTTGGAGATTCAAAAAGGTAGTTAAACATGTTTTTTTATCCATGTATAAAGCTAATATAATTGTATGTTTACAAAATATTAATCTAATTGATGCAATTTAACTGATAACTTTATGTGATGGTGTGATCAGCTGCTAACTAGCAGTGTTGTTGTGAACACGTTAAAAGAAAATCTGTACGGATACATAACTTATGTGTTGTCATTATCTTGTGGATCTCAACATCTTTTATTAGCTGTATTTACCGTTAGGCTACATGTTTTTAAAGTTTTATGTTGTTATTTTCAGTTCCAAAGCTGTGAGTGAAAACAACAAGAGCAACAACAGTGGAACTGGAAACACCAGCAAAGGCAACAGCAGTGGAGCTGGAAAGAAATGACATGTAAGTTAGAAAGTACTATTTTAATGACACTTAAACATTTGTTTTACAATTAGCAATGTTTTCAATGTTACAAATAACTTTATACTGTTTTCAGCTGCTGAAACAATAGTGAAGTCTTGATTTCTGCAACCTGTTGAAAAGGCACCTCTCGCCAAGGTAGTGTTATGAGTTAATGTCAATTGCTGATCTCTTCTTTTATTTTATTTTATTGATTAGTAGTTAGTTCTCACAATTTTAACTAATTGCACCCATGTACTTTTCCACAGAACAATTCCCTCACCAATGAGTCCACCTTCGTGCCACCAAGGCCTGCCCCACCTAAACCAGGTGGTGTTAAACCACAGGTGGGCTCTCCCGCAAGGCGTTCTATGGCTCCTCAGTCATTTCGCAATCCTACTCGTGAGTGCTTCCAGTGATCAGTGAGATGTTTGGCTGTGATCTACCATGGCCAACCTGTTTATTTTCCCAATGTCTTTGGCCATGTGGAGTTGGTTTAGTGTAGAGAGCCCAAGTCTGAGATGATATGCTTACTTACGACATAACACTTTCTATCCTCCAGCACTGATGTCCAGTGTCCTTGAGCCGTCACAATTAGGAACAAGTATTCTGCAATCCACAATCTTAGATGGTCACTGTCTTCGCCCAGACTTTGATGTGTCTGCCATTAAAGCTAAACTGTCCTTTTATTCAGATCATGATGATTAAAAAAAAAACATTTGGGAATCAACAATAACAGTTAACATGCTATGTCTCACTTATACTACAGACAAGACGTCTTACCAAACGCAGCAGTAGATCCTGAACGAAACGATGAACACGAAAAGATACTCTAGAGATGCAGACATTCTTGTTGGCCTACCTCACAGCAAAGGTAACTACTAACTATTGTATTTAGTGTTTTTCTAAATCGGACAACATGTTTTATTGGTATTCTACCCATTAGGATTAACCTTTTACTTAACCTACTCTGATGGTTCTGTTTGACTTCAGATGGAGAATAAAAGCCAGAAATTGAAGGCAGGGGTGGGGGGCGTATTTGATCAGTGATGGAGGAATAGGAGCAGCTACGGAAGGAAGTCCATGAGAAGAAGTGCCAGTACCACCTCCTGGAGAAGAACAAGCAGCTGGACGACCTGCTCGATATACAGGTCAGAGGTAATTTCTCTCAATACATCCTAAACAATCTTTGATTTATGTAAACAAGTTGTGTAGCTGAAGAAGTTGTTATCCTGTGTGTTTTGCGTGTGTTATCATTATGGGATGGTTGTTGATTTGAATTACAAAAGATAAATTGCTTGTAACATGTAAAACAATCAGATCTTTGATTTTGAATAATCATAAATGTTATGTTTTCAGATCACAGCACTAACTCCTGTGGCTGATGCTATCAAGCAGTTCACACAGGAATACAAGCCTTTTGCCACCACAGTCAACACCCACGTCATGAGCTGCCAGTGAAGAACTTCTTCATTGAGGGGGACAGAATGACATTTCTGGGTTGGTATTATTCCATTCAATTCTTTCTTTACTGGAGTGAAGCGAAAAACCTACATCAGAGTTAAAAACTGATTTACTGCTTACGCATAGGATATGATTTCCTATGAATGTGTTTGAATGCTAAAATGAATGCTAAAACCGCAGATAAAGCCACTGCTAGCCTGAAGGAGAGTGAGGAAGTGTTACTGCAGTGCACACAGGGAGCTCAGCATGACAATGAGAAATCTGCTGAGTGCCGAAGAGGGATGAAAACTGCTGCACAGGACATCAGTGAACAGCTCTCAGGGTAAGACTATAGATTAGAGACCTAAGACATGTAATTTTTTAGTGAGTCTTGCCCATTGACTGATTTACTGTATGTGCATGCACACATAAGCTAAGTGTTTACACTTGTCAAGACACTAACATTATAGTGTCACTTCAAGACACTATAACGTTTTCCAAAGACATGATAAACAATTAATGAATGTGTAGTGGGTTTATTTTTGTTTTGGTGACCACAGGATTTCCTTCTTCACAGGGGTCTTTCAGAGTTGTTGGAGCTGTCATCACTGGTCAGTCGCCAGATGGTTCGGATTCAGCAGGCCTTAGAGGAGGAGGAGCTTTGCTTGACCAAAGAGTGCCCCAAACAGTGAAGCCGCATTGGAGAACATATTATAGCATGTACAGTCTATAGTTTTTGTTAACATAGTTAATTTAATTACATGAATTACTGACCATGGGAATTATTTTGTAAAACTTTCTAATAAATTGTATACCTCAATATGTAATAGTATTTTACGTGCTTTTCAAATGCCTTGATCTTGGAAGAAATTTCTGTCAGCTCGAAGTGTTTCAATTGTAAAAAAAAAAAATGTATCCATATGATATTGCTGCAAATTGATACATTTGACATTCATTGCGAAACTTCCGTTCACCCGATGTGACGTAGGGGCATCGTGAAATGCGTTGTTGCTGATTGGCTCATTCTGACAAGTGACGTCAATGCCGTCACAGTTAACCAATGAACAACAAGCGGGCGAGCCGTCGTGTGTGAGTTTTTGTTTGGTTTGATCCAAATATAAGTGTTTATCCACGTTTTTAAGATGAATTGGAATTTCTAAATTACCTGTAGCATCGTGGAAAATGAAAATAAGAAAATAATCTTGCACAGTATTATGTAGAATCAAGTCGCGGTACTGTAAGCTAACACTGGAAAGCAAGCACACAGCCTAGCTAGCTAACGTTAGCTATACATTCAGTGAGTGCTTAGTCGACTGGCATTTTCTTCGTACTAGTTCTTTTGAATGGCAGCCTTGCATGTAAAGCTGCTAGAAGGATGAAATAATGCCATTCCCGCTATAAACATGGTTTTGTAAGGACCGCTAGTGTTGCGTCCATTATACTTAATGCACTTGTCACTATTCTTTCTCAGTGACAGTATTTTGAGGCTTGATAAAAAAATCCCTTTTGTCCCTTGAATAGTTCCCACTCCAGAAGGAGAGGACAGCCCGTGGAAAGGGAGTGGAGGCAACACCACAACGAGGGGGTATGGCGAGAAGTACAAGAGGAGAGGAAGCAGGAGTCTGTCCCCAGGGGTGTCTGCCTGTCTATGTGCCCTGTCCGCGAGCTGCAGGACAGGGAGACCCAGAACTTACTCCACCGATTTGAGGTGTTGGCGGGCACCGAGCGAGAACACTGGCCCAGAGCTGACCCCTCGAGAGTGGTAAAGGAGTATGCTAGACCTGCAGCAGGGAAGGACTCCACTCGACCTAGTGACCTGCGACCACCAGCTGTGCTGCTAAAGACTGTGTTCTACCTCATCGACAACATCGCTGCCTCCCCCACACTGCGTCCATGGACAGAGGCTAGTCATCTCCACTGTATGCCTTCGCTGTTATCTTGTCATTATATTTTATGCAACATTTCATCAACACATTTCTTCTTGTTATGTGCATTTCTAGGTGTATGACTTTGTCTTTGACCGGCTGCGCAGTGTGAGACAGGATATGATCATCCAGAGGGTGTCTGGTGCTGACTGTGTGGCCGTGCTGGAGAGGACGATCCGCTTCCTGATCTACGCCTCCTACCGGCTGTGTGGGGAGCCCCTGCGCCTCTACGACCCGCGCATCAATGACACACACCTGCAGGAGAGCCTCAGCTGGCTGCTGGACTGCTACACCAGTGGAAAGCACCCCAACCAGGAGGAGTTCCAGGCCCTCGGTCTCCTCTACAACCTGGGTGAGTAGTCCTGGGCCCGGTTCCCCAAAAGCATCTTAAAGCTTAGTTCATCGTTAGAACCTTCGTATGAGTGTCGTTAAATCTCTGAGCTGTTTCCCAAAACCATCGTTATTAAGGTTTCACTTGAAAACGCTCGTAATCTAACGCCTGCCTCAGACCACTCGTAGAACCGCTAGCTAAGTGTGTCGTTAGATGCTTTTTTGCCCTCGCGGTACAGTAAGCTAACACTGGCAAGCAAGCACACAGCCTAGCTAGCTAACGTTAGCTACACATTCAGTGAGTGCTTAGTCGACTGGCATTTTCTTTGTACTAGTTATTTTGAATGGCAGCCTTGCATGTAAAGCTGCTAGAAGGATGAAATAATGGCAGTCAACTAAGCACACACTGAATGTATAGCTAGCGTCAATTTATACACAGCTTTCCGCTAAACATGGATAAACCACGTGATTCTGTCTCTCTGTGACGCCGATAACTTCAGAAAAAAGTTGACTACAAATACAAAGTTTCCAATGTCTTTGCAATTGATACAAACAAGCGACGTATAAAAAAAATGCTTAAATAAACCGAGATGACTGCATTAAAATACAAACAGTAAGCTATAGGTCCATTTCAATCATATTCAAATACATTTAATGTTCAATCAATTGAGTTTTAGTTTGCTACTGTCTGTCTGTAATTTGTCAACATATTTCATGATGTGAAGCCGAACATTGGCGCCATAATGTGCCAAATTGGTGATAAGCCAACCTCAATATTTGCAGCCATAAGTGGTAATATCTCTCTAGGAGCTGATCTGTCGTCAGTATTGTGGAATAATTTTAATGTTAAGGAAATATTTGAATGGAGAAAGCTGATCCGATAGCAGCGCTCCCTTTCGATCCTATCAGTATCAACACATGCTCCAACGACGTACTTAGCGACCGTTCTCTCTGCTTGGTGTTTTGGGAAACTCATGTTATGTCTTCGCCCGTTGTAAGAAAGGTGCATGGTTAAAACACTCGTAATTTCATACAGATAGCTGACATACAGAGCACTACTCTTAAAGATAATTGAATCACAGCCTCTCTGGGGACAGGGTTGGGTTCACCAATGGTACACATGAGATGAAAGAAATAGAAATGTCCAAAGGACCAATATTGTGTAAAAGAGCTGCATATGATTAGTGATGGTGTTACTGCACATTACAAGCTTGTAATTTCACTAAAGGAGGAAACACACCATAGAAACTGACAGCTGAGTGTACTGAAAAGCAACAGGTGGCTGTCCTATCGCCTCTGACCACAGAACATCGTCAGTAATTTTCTTAAAATTTCCAGACGATTCTATATTTTGATCTACTGTGTCTTCTCTCTAAACAGACTCATATTTCCTGTATCATTTATCCAGGTTCAAGTCGTGCCACACAGCACACCATGGAGCTGCCAGAGCGGATACGCTCCTCCCCTGTCATGCGTCTGGCCCTGTCAGTGAGCCGGGCCTTCATGGAGCGCAACCCTGTACGACTCTTCCGATTGGCCCACAGCCTGAACTTCCTGCAGAGCTGTGCCCTGCACCGGCACCTAGAGGCCTGTCGCAGGGACCTGCTGCTACTCTACAGCCACGGACACAGCAGCAAGAACTGCCGCTTCCCCCTCCACAAGCTGGCCCACATCCTGGCCCTAGACGTCCCCCTCACCACCCAGCTGTGCCAGGCCCACGGGGTGGAAGTCCACGGGGACTCTGTGGTCTTCTCCAAGACCTCCTTCACTGAGCCAGAGGCTGGGAAGCTACAGTGTGCACACTTTCATGAACTGGTGGACAGGAAGCAGAGTGATCTCACTGTTGGTAGCATCATTCACGGCTGCACTTGATATGAACAGACATGGACATTGGATAAACTGCGGCCTGCCTGCTCCAAGAAGACTGAGATGCTCTTGATTTGATTGATTTTTAAGTTGTTTTTTAAATAAACTTGTTTTAATGTGAATTGTGAATGTTACGATTTAATGGTGTTCCCTTAACATCGATGCCTGTTACATTTACACATAATGTTGTGTGATTATAAAGTTGCTTTTTTATACAAATCAAACATTTCATTATGACAGAGATCACCCGATCATACAAGAAATGTATGTGTAATTTAGAAAACACACGTATTGCCATGTTTTATATACTGTATAATTGTTTTTGACTTCTGCTGCCTATGGTTTTAAAATAAAGCAACTATTTTTGAAGAATTTAATCTGTTTTCTTTCATGCATTTTCACTTGACTTCTCTGCCAGCGCTACTGACATGTGAGTGCTGTAGTGGTATGAGTGGGATGTAGCCTCAAAGTTCAGGCTTCTCACACGAGTCAACGAAATGACATTTGGAAGGATGGACATGCGAGGCTGGAGTGGGTGTGACAGGCTGCTTTCCTCTAACTAAACAGGTAAATATAAGTGTCTATTTCTAATGAATCCTTGTGAATTGTATGAAGCGCTGATAGACTATGGAAAAGCATGCAAGTGCTCATTCAGTGGAAATGATTGTCCAGATTGTATTACAGTTATCAGTGTTCACAATTTGCCACTTGAGGGGGCCAAAGGTTTACCTGGAGCGTGTGAGCACTGCAAGCAGATTATGACTGTGACGGGTTAATTTGAACTACCCTGATATTTCTCCTAACATTAGTACACACCCAAATTAAGAGGGTTCTCATCCAATATTGCATGTAGGCAACATTAAATAATATTCATACTTAGAAGTGATCTGGCTATTTCAGGTTAATCAAAGATCATGCCTGGATTAATTAGACCGCTAAGTAGACTCCGCTGATTAGTACAATTGTAATGCCAACTGCAAAGACATTTTTACTCCAGGCTAGTCCAGTACATGATGAGAAGCAGGGGGCCCCCTTTGTCATGTTAGTCATTGCATACCTTAGAGAGTGATTTTTCTTGTCAAAAATGTCCAGATCAACTTGCCCATGTCAGCTAACGTTTTTTTAGTTAGGTTTTTTAGCCCATAGATATTGTTGTAATTATTTAGTCACTCAAATATCACATGAATACACATTAGACATGGCAAAATGTATAGAATTGCAAGAACATTAGCTTTAAACTGCAACAGTTTCTTTACACCCATGACAAAATGTGTAGCATTGCAGGAATTAATTCTGGAAGGGGGGCCCCCTAGTGAAAAAGTTTGGGATCCACTGACCTAGGCTATCGGAGCTGGTCTGACTCGAACCAGCGGAACAAAAGCTTTGAAACTACGAAGAGGCGAGGAGGCACAGTTGGAGAAGAAAAGGACAACACCAAGTCACTGGAAATAAATGGATAAACATGATCTATTTTCTATTGTGCGACATTTCAGGGGATGGGAGGACACTAATAATCTGTAATGCTGAAATATGACAGAAGGGAACAGGCTGGTGAATAAGGCACGCAAAAAGAGGACTGTCTATGTGTCTTGAGCTCTAACGTAAAAAGCCAGTTGCTCCGAAACGGGATTTCTCGAAGTGGGATGATGATAACTTGATCCTTGCTTGCCGATTCGAGGCAGAAGTTGGCGCTCACACATCAGTGCCTCAATGAATAGGCTACGTAAGAATGAGAGGCTGGTCGAAGCTACTGTACATTTGAAGCGTTGAGGGAAAGTCTGAACTCTTGAGGGCGACTTTAAAACTCTTGCCACAGCAAACTGGGGGTAATATTGAGAATGTGGAGGTCCTGCTGGACAGCGTGTCTCTCGTGGACTTTATTCATCTGCATCGTCAGAAGTTATGCACAAGAAAGACAGTAAGTGGTTGACCTAATTCTATTGTAAATTAGCATGTTGCTATTTTTAGTGTAATATGCAAAACCACACTGTTTCACCTTGTTCATTCCTAGTTTAACAGATCAATCAATACTTAATTTATTGCAATATTTTTTACATGTACAAATCGCATTGTTTTGTATAGTTTTTTTCATTTTCACTATAAGCTGAATTTTACATTTGCGGAATGAATTCAGGATTGTTTGGAATGAAATGGATTTATAAAGAGGGTTTGTTCATTATGCCATGAACGTGAAACAATGTATCGAACTCACTTGACACATTCTGCGCCTTAGTTGCGGTTGGATTGATGATGCTGTCGACACGTTTTCACATGAAATATGGGATTTCTTTCCTTCTAAAATGTTATTACAACGCTTTATAAATTATACTATGTCCCATAAGCAGACGACATTTGGGATATATGATGCAAATCGAAGGCTTGAGCCCCAATTGTTTATTTATTTGTGGGTTCTTTGTGGTACTTTGCAGCAAATATCAACCCTGATAAAAGTTAGTGTTTTTCTAATTCGTTTTCACCTACCCCCTATTTGCATTAACAACACTATTGAAATTTAAACAGTTAAAAATAGTCGTTCCTATAAAATAGGTCAACCAGGACTGCTGTTCTGCTGCAGTAAGTGTTTTAGAGCCCATTTACAAAAGGGAAACAGAAATGTTTTATTTTATAATATACCATTCATACACCATTATCTCTGGTAGGAGAAGAACATTACAAAGAGATTACAGCCTAAGAGCAATGAGATGCTTTACTAGATTTGTGTACATATTATTTCCTATGAATGGAAAACTATCCTCCAATACTACTAGTTCCTCCACCTCCCTGTGTTTGACAAAAACCTCTACTGAAATTCGTTTGACTTTGGGCTCTTTGATGCTATCAGTTGGGCTGCAGTCAACATTATGACAGAGCCTAATCCTGAACTGTGGAGAATTTGGCTGTGTTAATTATGAAGGGTTACAAGCTGTGCTGCCAAGTGCTCCAGAGGGAAGCCCACCACACCACACCATAGAGAATGCTACAGGACTAATACCAGCTTTCCTAAGAAAAGAACATCAGTCTTCAAGCATTGGAGACTGAACTCTGAGACAGGCAGAAACCACTGTGAAGTTCAATGCATCTGCCTGTGTGATTAAAGTAAGCATGGTCCTCAGCACCTGACGCAGGCCTATCAAAGAGATGATTGAACTTGCTGCAGATCAAACGCTGAGAGTCAATTTCCTCGTATTATCTTGCTATTCTCAAAACCCAATTTTCCAAGGGATTTTCTCATGACTCTGGGACTTAGACATCCTTAGATAGCCTCTGGCTCCCAGCACTGTAATGCTAACCACCTGATCTGACACTCAGACATGCAACTGGGTTGGTGGATTCCATGCTCATTCTAGTTTGAGTGATCTCAAATAAAGTTTCAGATGGGAGCTCCCAGGTCTAGAAAAATGGTCACCTGAATGACACACAGAACCTGCTTTTTAAATAATGTAATCACATTTTTATTGAGTTTAACTCATGAAAAAGTGAAATGAGCATGTAATTACACTGTAGTAATAATAACGTAATAGTGTGATAAAAGTACATCATGGAACCTAAGTATGCCTCCAAACTAAAGCCAGTGAACTTTTGGAGATCTTTAAAATGCCACTTCCCTTGCTCTCATTTATGGAGGTCTTTTGCCAACCATTGGTAAAAGTTTAATTGGACTTTTAGAATGTTTATCTGCATCTGAGGATGTCCTTTGGCCTCCAACCCTTCTGATAGCTGTCTTCCCTCGACTAAATATCAGAATGACTGTCTGGAATCTTGGTCGTTATGTTTAAAAAACATTCTAGTTTTGTGGTTCCAGACCACCCAAAGAGAACACTAGAGCAGAGCCCTGTTGGCTGACAGGTACTGTGTCGCTGCTAACCTCGCAGTTAAACCTGATCTCACTTTGCAAATCCCTTGAGGTGTGTTTGTGTGCGTGTCAATACTGCCTGATGAACAGCCATATTTGGAGGGCAGGAAGAGGGTGAAGTTGGGGCCACTGGTGTGTTGATATTGGGTGCTGCTGGAAGCATAGTGGGATGAGAATAATCTATTTATCAGAACCTGTAAAAACAGCAAGCCCTCAAGGACCAGAGTTGTGAACCCCTGGCTGAAGTACCGTCTGAACAAAAGTTTCCGTGGCCCACTGTCTGTTGACCAAGCCCACTTTTTCTCCTGGTCACTAGGGGTTACCTGATCGCTGCTCCCTCAGTTTTCCGCGCTGGCGTGGAGGAGGCCCTGAGCGTCACCATCTTCAATGCTGTGGAGGAGACACATATTCAAGTCCAGCTCTCTGTGAAGGGTGAGACAGTGGCACACAGCCATGGCACTGTGCTAGGTGAGGACCCCCCCCCCCCCACACACACACACACACACACACATGCTGACGCAGAAACACACACCACCATTCCCTACACACGCTGAGAGTGGATTACACACACGCTCTTACAGGGGAACGTACACAGTGTGAGGCTGATTGACCCCTGACCTGTTGAGTGTATACTCCTGACCTCACAGGGCCCTTAACGGATGTTTCTTATGATAGGGGGTTTATTGCAAAGCCTGGCTTGTCTAACCAGGATTTTGTGTATATCTATGTGAGATTTGTTTGACAGCACTACTAATGGGACTTCAGCGCTTCATTGAAAGAGCCTGTAGCTGTATCTCCTGTAGAGTGCATCACTCCAGTTCCACTGGTTTTCCTTTCCTCTGGCAATTAATTGATAACCGTGATTGGCCAGAGATTTCACATAACGGGTTATATCTTGCACACATCGCACCGAATGTGGATCTAGCATTTGTCTGCCGATCGTTCAGACATTTGTCACGTGATTCTACATGTAAAATCGGTTCGCAAATTACGTTAATTAGTGTTAAGCACTCTCGGCCAGCAAATGCTATTGGGCGTGTTTCTGAGCCTAAAGGATAACCAGCCATTATATAACTAAGGTTCTTGATTACTGTAAAAGGCAAGGACGGAAACCAGTAAACACTGTGTCCCTCAAGGTCCGGTGTTGACGCGAGTTAATGTTCCTTGAATCAAACCACACCTCTCAATCACAAGAGCTCAATCATTTTGATAGATTGTTTTACTTTGTTTTGTGTGTACTTTTACTGATTGATTTTATTCAATTTTCTCCATTTCAGACAAAGGCACAATCAAATTAAAGGTGAGAGCAACGCCATTGTGTTTAACAGCATTTTTATCTATCATTTATCAGTTGGTTATATCAGGTCTTTGTTGTGTAGAGTTATAAATAAACAACGCAATTGTTGTTTCAAGAGTGTATTTAAAATGCATTGAAATGGTTGTGGCTCCACCTGCACAGAAGTGAGATCCAATTCAGTTTGTCCACATTCCACAAACGACATGCAAAACAACACTAACATCATTTGTATGTGAACATCTGCCTTTTTGCACATTCATTTGGAATAAGGTAACAGCCTCAATATAATATGCAACAGCTGTTGATGTGCATGTATGGGTCTGCAGCCCCCGAAGGCTGGAATGGATCAATCCAACATGCATGACTTGATTCCTCCCCTCCCTCTAACCCCCACCCGTCTTTATGAAATATAGTCTCATATTGTGTTAGCTAAGCACTTTAGCATCTGGTTTGCCACTGGTCTGTGTGGTGTGGTGTTGTGTTAGGTACCACATCCTGAAGATATACTGTTTGTGTCCTTCCTGGTTTCAGGTCCCTCCTGGTCTGAGAGGTCAGGCCCATCTGAAGGTGTGGGGGAATCGCCACATCACTGAGGGGGGATATATCTTCCACAACTACACCACTGTCACTGTGGACAGCAAGGGCACAGCTGTCTTCATCCAGACGGATAAGCCAGTCTACAAGCCCAAACAAAAAGGTCTCAACCTCCCAGGCCCTTCAGTATCAGCCATTGGCATAAACCTTCTACTGTAGATAGATGTACTCGTAGGCCATTATGTCTTAATAGCAGCCCAGGAGAAAAGCTAATGACATGGATTGTGTATTGCACTCTACATAAAATATGCATTAAAGTGGATAATAATCTGTTCCTCTCTCAATCAGTGCTCATCAACGTGTACTCAGTCACTCCGGATCTGAGGCCGACCAATGACAAGGTAATGCAACCAGTCTCTCACATCAAAGCCAAGACATCACACCCACTTACAGGAAATGGATGGGATATGAATTATGAGAATCAGGTGTGTTGACCTAATGTGTGTCAGTGGGCCTTGATGCCAAGCAGCTGGCCTCCTCTCTTTTGATGTATACCGGCTTCAAATGAAGAGTGGTGGCATCACGCTAGTTTATACACACTTATTTTTTCCAAGATCCCCTCAGAGGGGAGTGAAGTGGGGGAAACCTGGCCTGAATACACACTAAATGTACAGTAACCTATTTACCTCCACAAACCTTGAGTAATTTCTGCTGGAATTTTTGAAATGGCTCCAAATATACCATTGCCACTGTGTAGACAGTGTGTTTATTGATGGCTAGAGCTATAAAGGTCCGCTGCTGGCAAAGGCTAACGATCGCACTCACAGATGGATGATTGTTGGAGAGGGGAGGCGGGGAGGAGATATTTTGCCATGTGGCTGTGCAGTTTGTCTAATGTGTGCGCCATCCTTGACAATAATTTTTTTCATCTTCTTCTTACCCTGGTTGCAGATTGAAGCCTACGTTGTGGTGAGTGGAGGGAGAGGGACCACTTGGGCTTGGAGGGAGGGCCATGGGACACTGGGGGTTTAGTCTCCCAACCCCAGGCAGGAGATTACAGGGCAGGGAAGGGCTCGCTTTGATAACAGGCCTGTGCTCTGAGCTCCAGCCTGGCCCCTGAAGCAGGCCAACCTAACACTGAACATGAAAGGAACTGCTCTCTTTGACTCAGCTGCTCTCTCCTGCTGTTACTAACGCCTCAATCTCTCTCCTTCTCTCTCTCCCTCACTCTCCGTCCATCTCACGTCCTCTGGTGCTCTGTCTGCGGTGGCTTTGCAGGGCAAATATGCTGCTTGGTGTTAAGATTCCAGTGGAAGTTGTTGTATAAACGAGCTCAGCTCAGGGACTAAGAATAACTGTGTAGCTGTTTGTGTTATTCTGTCACCTGCAGCCAGCAGAGCAGTGGCCTTACCTGATTGACGGCTGTTAGTGTTAGTCTTTCTCCTAGAGTCAGAGCCAAGCCAGTGTATGTAAGAAGTAGCTTACTGTAGGAGTGGGGGACATGGAGGTGTTACCCCCAATATATTTATTTACATAACCCTTACATAACTTAACTCATGAGTACTTATGTAAGTTCATGCCATTTTTTGAGCAATCCCCACAGCTTTCACGTAGGGAGAAACAGATTGATGCTTGTTTTGATGAAAGTAGAATCTCTTGATCAACTGTGTATTCATACTCTGGATTGCAGGACCCAAGAGGATCTCGGATGGTTCAGTGGAAAGGGCTTAAACCCCTCTGCTGCGGTGAGAGAAACTCCCTATGTTATCATGTGGTGTTGACTGAGTCAAAAACCCTGTTTTTTGACCCCTGCTTCTCTCCTCAGGGATCGTCAACATGAGTTTCCCTCTCTCAGACCAGCCCGTGTTTGGAGAGTGGTTCATCTTTGTAGAGATGCAGGGACACACCTACAACAAGTCCTTTGAAGTGCAGAAGTATGGTGAGTTGCTAACTGAGCGTGACCATTTATCCAGATTGGGATGTGGTTTGGGTTGAAAGGTTTTGGAACTCCAGCATGGTTACATAACAAAGATACGTTCAAAGACCCTTCTGTTTGAGGTGGTATTTATAGGTTTGAACTGGGACTGTATAGCCATGTTGTCATGCCTCTCTTTGCATAATGTGGACTCCTCTCCCCCTGATCCACAGTGATGCCCAAGTTTGAGCTGGTGATAGACCCTCCACAGTACATCCAGGACCTCAACACGTGTGAACAGGCCACTGTGAGGGCCAGGTGAGTGACTGACTCGCAGCATTCACCTCATCCTAACATGGTCAATGTGATTCCCTAACACATACTGTTCGTTGAATATTAGAGAGGCAAAGTAGCACCTCTACTCTTGTTTGAACACAAACTACTTTTCTGTCTTTAGATATACCTTTGGGAAGCCAGTGACAGGGAAGATGACAGTGAACATGACAGTGAATGGAGTTGGGTACTACCGACATGAGGTGGGCCATCCTGTGGTCAAGACCATGGAGGTGAGTGAACCCTGCTGCAGTGCTGAAGAATCTAAAACTATCAGGAAAATGGAATCACATTCAATTCTGCCGAGTGTCCCCTTTTAGGATTAATTTAAGATATTTAACAGTCTGTTTCCTCCACTATGATTAGATCAAAGGCTCAGCGACCTTCAGCCTGTGTGTCAAAGACATGATGCCCCTGGACGTGGCTGATCATTTCCGTGGCACTGTGAACATGTGGGTGTCAGTGACCAGTGTGGACGGAGGACGGCAAACAATGTTTGATGATTCAACCCCAGTTCACAAGCAGCTTATCGACATCAAATACTCAAAGGACACTCGCAAACAGTTCAAGCCTGGCCTGCCCTACAAGGGAAAGGTAAGAGACAGCCAAAGGTATTCATACGATTGACTTCACATTACCTCTATCAAGGGAAACTGGACTGTACAAGACTTGGGTTCACTTATGCGTCTCCATGCGAGAGACCTGACTGTCTGTCCCCCTGTCCCCCAGGTAGAGGTAACCTACCCTGATGGTAGCCCAGCAGATGGGGTGCGGGTGCGTGTGAAGGCGGAGCTGACCCCTAAGGACAACGTGTACACCAGCGAGCTGACGTCCAGGGACGGCCAGGCCACGTTTGAGATCCCCTCCATTCCCAACGCTGCCCAGTACGTCTGGCTGGAGGTCAGTGGACCATGGAGGTGGAGAGATGGAGGAAGGTGGAGAGATGGATGGAGGTGGAAAGATGGAGGGAGGTGGAAAGATGGAGGGAGAGATGGAAGGAGGAGGTGGCGCGATAGAGGGAGAGGTGGAGCGATAGAGAGAGAGATAGAGGGAGTGGAGATATAGAGGGAGAGGTGGAGGGGGAGAGAGAGGTGGAGGTGGACATGGTTAGAGCTTAGTTAGCTTCTCATAAGAGCTATTCATAAAACCGAGCTATCAGGATTATGTTTGATAGGATTTTGCTTGATGTCATCATAGTCCAGAGAGTGGAATGTATTGGTGGGTTAAATCCTGTCGTGTGTTGTGCCCCAGACCAAGGTGACAGCCATAGATGGCCGTCCGGCTGGAGACCAGTACCTCCCCAGCTACCTGTCCATCAGCAGCTGGTACTCCCCCAGCAAGTGTCACATCCAGATCCAGAGCCTCAGCGCTCCTCTCAAGGTACGCACTCCACCCGACTATCATTACTTTACTAGCATTACACATCATCAGATCTCCAACACCATCGTTGAGACATTGGTCACATATCATATACAGACTGTATGTAAACAGTAATAACATAGTACTACTAATACTATTATGATCATTATGATGTCTCTAGCGTAATAGTGGGTGTGTGTTTGTGTGTGTTTAGATCGGTCAGGAGGCTGAGGTCACTCTGAAGTCCACCTGTCCCTGTAACTTCACCCTCCACTATGAGATCGCCTCCAGAGGAAACATCGTCCAGTCCGGCCAGCAGCAGCCCAACGCTACAGTCCCACAGAAGCAAGAGGGCAGCGGTCACCTTCGACAAGAACATCCACACCACCACGCCACCCAGTGGCTCTGGTCAGTACTATAGAGTCCCAGATGAGAAGTCTATTTTGTTCCATATTGAAGTGCAGATAATTTTGACCAATGGACACCATGTTTGCACCAAACGTTCCAATGCATTCTGCTAAGAATACATAGAGGATAGTTGGTCAAACTCTGTATATATTTAGCTCTTCCCCCTCTCTGTCTCTTCTACCTCTTGTCTCCTCTCTCCCTTTATACTCTCTTTCTCTTCCCATGCCCTCCAGGTCCGGCAGCCTCCTCCCCACTGGGTGAGACAGACAGCTGTATGCTGGTGCTGCGTTTGCCAGTGACCCACAACATGGCACCCCTCAGCCGCCTCTTGGTCTACTACGTGAGGGAGAATGGAGAGGGCGTCACTGACAGTCTACAGATCCCTGTACAGCCCAGCTTTGAGAACCAGGTACCGTACAGGACGTCCCTCTCTGAGTCCTTGAATCCCTCAATGTGCACTGTACATACAGTCTTGCCTGTACACACAGTCGTCCCTGTACACACAGTCCTCCCTGTACACACAGTCACTGTCAGAATGATAGGTAGGTCTATCATGGTTGCCAGTTTGTCCCTGATTTAGCCAACTCATGCCAGACAACAAAGGAGTTGGCTAAAGCAGAAACAGACTGGCAACCAGGCCACGTTTAGTTTGGGATAGGACTGGGCGATATGGCCTAAAAATCATATCTCAATTTTTTCAAACTTATGGACGATTCACAATATAAAGTACCAGTAGAAAGTTTGGACACACCTACTCATTCCAGGATTCTTCTTTATTTTTACTATTTTCCACATTGTAGAATAATAGTGAAGACATCAAAACTATGAAATAACACATATGGAATCATGTAGTAACCAAAAAAGTGTTAAACAAATCAAAATATATTTTATATTGGAGATTCTTCAAAGTAGCCACCCTTTGCCTTGAGGACAGCTTTGCACACTCTTGGCATTCTCTCAACCAGCTTCATGAGGTTGTCACCTGGAATGCATTTCAATTAACAGGTGTGCCTTGTTAAAAGTTAATTTGTGGAATTTCTTAATACGTTTGAGACAATCAGTTGTGTTGTGGCAAGGTAGGGGTGGTATACAGAAGATAGCCCTATTTGGTAAGAGCTCAAATAAGCAAAGCGAACCGACAGTCCATCATTACTTTAAGACATGAAGGTCAGTCAATCCGTAACATTTCAAGAACTTTGAATGTTTCTTCAAGTGCAGTCGCAAAAACCATCAAGCGCTATGATGAAACTGGCTCTCATGAGGACCGCCACAGGAATGGAAGACCCAGAGTTACCTCTGCTGCAGAGGATAAGTTCATTAGAGTTACCAGCCTCAGAAATTGGAGCCCAAATAAATGCTTCACAGAGTTCAAGTAACAGACACATCTCAACATCAACTGTTCAGAGGAGACTGCGTGAATCAGGCCTTCATAGTCGAATTGCTGCAAAGAAACCACTACTAAAGGACACCAATAATAAGAAGAGACTTGCTTGGGTCAAGAAACACGAGCAATGGACATTAGACCGGTGGAAATCTGTCCTTTGGTCTGATGAGTCCAAATTTGAGATTTTTGGTTCCAACCGCTGTGTCTTTGTGAGACGCAGAGTAGGTGAACGGATGATCTCCACATGTGTGGTTCCCACCGTGAAGCATGGAGGAGGACATGTGATGGTGTGGGGGTGCTTTGCTGGTGACACTGTCAGTGATTTATTTAGAATTCAAGGCACAGTTAACCAGCATGGCTACCAAAGCATTCTGCAGCGATACGCCATCCCATCTGATTTGCGCTTAGTTGGACTATAATTTGTTATTCAACAGGACAATGACCCAACACACCTCCAGGCTGTGTAAGGGCTATTTGACCAAGAAGGAGAGTGATGGAGTGCTGCATCAGATGAACTGGCCTCCACAATCACCCGACCTCAACCCAATTGAGATGGTTTGGGATGAGTTGGACCGCAGAGTGAAGAAAAAGCAGCCAACAAGTGCTCAGCATATGTGGGAACTCCTTCAAGACTGTTGGAAAAGCATTCCAGGTGAAGCTGATTGAGAGAATGCCAAGAGTGTGCAAAGCTGTCATCAAGGCAAAAGGTGGCTACTTTGAAGAATCTAAAATCTACATATATTTTGATTTGTTTAACACTTTTTTGGTTACTACATGATTCCATATGTGTTATTTCATAGTTTTGATGTCTTCGTGTAGAAAATGGTAAAACATTAAGAAAACCCTTGAATGAGAGGGCTTGTGAAATTATACCTAAACTAAATACAAGCCTTACAAAACCATAAGACCCACTAATTATTTAATTATTTACAATAGGTGCTTTTTTGTAATATTCACTGATCTGGCATTCAAGTCAGGTCTATGAAAACGCCCTTTTTGTTACACATTTTACCAGAACCATACATAGACTATTCTTATAGAAAATTAACACAGTCTCATACAATTAAGCACATAACTGCTGAGTATCAGTAATATTTAATTAAAGCCAACTGTCAGCAGCTACACTTTGTTCAGTGTGAACAACCTCATTTCAAATGAAAGAGTTCTCTACAAATGCAACTTTTTATGATTATAGCCATTTAAAACACGTAGACTGCTAGGATACAGTATTTGGAGAAATCCTATAGTACTGCAACGCCGCGCGGATGAGCATCATTTTCCAAACTTTCATGATACCCCGTTTTATAGTTCGTCTTGCGCAATTCTGAGAGTTAGACATAAAACTGAACTCCAACTGTAGTAATGTTCAAGTTCGGTGTCATTGACAATCTGTGGCCAAACCTCAATGCAATACGATTGGTAACCGTTGTCAGAGAGAAGAATTCTCTCATCTTTGTTGTGTGAGTGGCTGGGGAGGGCGTGGTGTGTGTGGTTGTGTAGCAAAGAGGATCTGTCCAAAATATCCCATGCGTTCTAGGCTATTTTGGACCTAACTTGTCGCCTGACTTCCTGCCTGGACAACGACTGCAATCGAATTAATTAATTCGATATATCCAGCCATTTGGATGATGAGACATAACACACGTCGTGACGTTTCTGGTGGACCATAGTTGACTGAAGTCCATCTATGTACAGTGGGATCCCCAGTGCCAGTGATCGCTGTTTCAACTAGCTGTACATCCGTGTGCTCAGTGTAGCATGGCGTGCAACGCCAATTCCACGGGGGGCCAGTATGAAAATGTATGCACTCACTAAAACTGTAAGTCGCTCTGGATAAGAGCGTCTGCGAAATGACTAAAATGTAAAGTTGGCCCATGAGCTCCACAGTTGCTGGCTGCATTAGGCAGGCTGGGTTAACTCCTGAAGTATTTACTGCTCCCTGGTATGCAATCAATGAGGTAGGGAGGTGTGTGTGGCTACCTATGTGGACATGATGAGACAGAGACTGTGTGTGGAGATGAGTGGGGTCATGACAGGCAGGATGATGAGGGGTTAAGCTAGGAGCTGGAAAAAGGAGGCCAGTGGAACACATAAAGGGCTAATTTGGGCTTTTGTGTGAAAACCGGTTTGGGGTGTCAAGGTTTAGGGCTGTCATTGTCCATCTTCAGGCCCTGCGTTGAACTGTTGACTCCTGACCATAAATACATCATCATGGCTATGGGTCTCACAGGAACTCTCATCTGTGTCTTTGTCTGTAGGTGTCTGCCTCTTTGTCTACCAACGAGTCAATGCCAGGTGACCCTATCAGTCTGCGTGTCAGTGGTGAGAAGGGCTCCTGCGTATGTGTCGCCACCGTGGACAAGAGCCTCTATCTTCTCAAGCCAGACTTCCAGCTCAGTCCAGACAAGGTCTGTCTCCCTCCATCTTACCTTGTTTCTAATCTATAGTACCGCTTAACTACATTCGGACAGGTAATGAATGTAAGCCATCCATGTCCACTGTTCTGTAGGTGTTTAAAGAACTGGCAGACTTTGATGTGTCCGATGGCTTTGGAGTTCCCAAAGACGACGGGCACTTCTGGTGGCCGGGGCTGTCGTCTAAGCGACGGAGGCGTTCTTCAGTGTTCCCCTGGCACTGGGACATCACTAAAGATGCCCGCTTCGCCTTCACGGTGAGAACAACGCCCAATCATCAGGCGTAGCATAAGATCTTCAGTCTATTGTTTTTACAATGTGTGTGTGTCTGTAATGTGTAACAGGAGACTGGTCTCGTGGTGATGACTGACATGGTGACCCTGAACCACAGACAGAGTGGAGGGATGTACACAGACGAGGCCGTTCCTGCCTTCCAGCCTCACACATCCACACTGGTGGCAGCCATGCACTCTCGCACTGTGCCCAGGTAGCTACACATATAACGGCAGGTTTTTGCCAATTATAACTTGTCACTGTGCCCACTATTCTCTAGTACCTGAACCAGAAACTGGACTGTTGGGATGGGGACCATAAATATTTAGGACTTTACTCCACAAATGACTTTAATTCTTGAGATGAACATTACACATGTGTGCCTTAACAAATGTCAGCGTGGGTTTAAATACAATCAATTTTCCAACTACAGGTTGTTGCATCCAGATCCATAATGGAAGGCCTTTATTGATGTCAAGTTGTGTTGTTTTGGTTGCAGAACAGAAAGCGCAGGCGGACATTTTTCCCGGAGACGTGGGTGTGGCACTGCATCAATGTCAGGTACTGGAACACCCACATCGTCTGTGTGTGTGTCTCTGTGTGTGTCTGTGTCTGTCTGTGTCTGTGTCTGTGTGTGTGTGTGGGTCTGTGTGTGTGTGTGTCTGTGTGTGTGTCTGTGTCTGTGCGTGTCTGTGTCTGTGTGTGCGTGCGTGTCTGTGTCTGTGTGTGTGTCTGTGTGTGTGTCTGTGTGTGTGTCTGTGTGTGTCTGTGTGTGTCTGTGTGTGTGTCTGTGTGTGTGTCTGTGTGTGTGTCTGTGTGTGTGTCTGTGTGTGTGTGTGTGCGTGTCTGTGTCTGTGTGTGTGTGTGTGTCTGGGTAAAAGATTGAAAGGAATGTAAGTCTTATTTATTAATTGCTTGCTTTTCTAAAGTCACCCAACCTTGCCAGCAGGCATACCAGCTAAGATAGTTAGATAAGCTAGCTACTCTAACTTGATTGATAGCCTGAAATGGCTTCTTGGTAGCTGGAGATTATGAGGTTTGGAGATTGGGAACCTATCTGAGCTAACTTAAAGCCAACTTCATAAAATTGCTAGGTGGCTAGTAGTATTACAGAGAAACGGAAAAAAAACACACAAAAAAAACAGGTCAAATCTGAGGGGGCACGTGCCCCTATGAGCGTGACGCCTGTGCGTCTGAATACATTTGTGTGTGTGTGTGTTTGAGAGAGTGGGTGGAGATGGTCTCAGCTGCATCAGATTGTGGGTATTTAATTGGGATTTGGGGGTGTTCCAGATCTGTGAGGATGGAGGAGTGGGAGGGGTAAGGGAGCACATATTTGAGAGGGGGATATTTCACCACTGCATTTTCTCCCAGTGGGTGTGAATGTGGCCCATTTAAGCAGGGTTGTCTTGGAACACACATCGGTTTTCTCAACAGCTCTTGCCTTTCAATTCCAGCCAATATAAATAAACTGGCCATAGATTTCCATATGCTTGATTCCTTTGGGCAGAGTTGTGTTCTGCCTAATTTCCTATTCAATCCAACGCTTTGATTTCCCTTATTGAGTGTATCAAAGTCATTTTGGGGTGACTTTGATAAAAAGACAGTGCGTTAGTAATTTCCGAGAATGCTTATTATGCCCTGTGAAAGCCAGCCAAAACCAACGTCAGTACGGGTAGCCAACAATGATCTCACTCATTTATAAAACAGCTTTACTGAACACCTGCCTGTTTTTCACACCTATGTATTGCAATGTGTTATGGGCAGAATATTACTTAGTTACAGGTGTTTCCCATATGAGACACATATTAGATCAATCCCCTTCATTCCCATAACGTGGTCTTGTTCCAAAAATTAGTCTGAAACAGTGTTTTCTATGGGAGTCATGCTTAGAGAACATTGTTTGTTGGAATGGTACATTAGCTTCTGAGTAAAATGTCACCCCCCCCCCCCCCCCCCAAATCTGTTTTGGCAGTGATGTCACCGGCGAAGCTGAGTTACGATTGGACGTTCCAGACTCCATTACCACCTGGGTGACAGAGGCCATTGGCTTGTCAGAGGAGAAGGGGCTGGGCCTTGCCAAGAGGGCGGAGCTTCGTACCTTCAAGCCCTTCTTCGTAGACTTCACCCTCCCCTACAGTGTGATACGTGGGGAGCAGACCAAAGTACCGCTGACTGTTTACAACTACCTGTCTACCTGCGCAGAGGTGAGGGGGCGAAAGAAGGGGTGGACACTAAACCATGACGACCACGAGGAAATCTGGTCCTAACACGACCATAACTGTGTCCATCCTCCTGTTTACAGAGATCAAATCAAATCAAATCAAATTTTATTGGTCACATGCGCCGAATACAACAGGTGCAGACATTACAGTGAAATGCTTACTTACAGCCCTTAACCAACAGTGCATTTATTTTAAACAAAAAAGTAAGAATAAAACAACAACAAAAAAGTGTTGAGAAAAAAAGAGCAGAAGTAAAATAAAGTGACAGTAGGGAGGCTATATATACAGTAAAATAAAGTGACAGTAGGGAGGCTATATATACAGGGGGGTACCGTTGCATAGTCAATGTGCGGGGGCACCGGCTAGTTGAGGTAGTTGAGGTAATATGTACATGTGGGTAGAGTTAAAGTGACTATGCATAAATACTTAACAGAGTAGCAGCAGCGTAAAAAGGATGGGGTGGGGGGGGGCAGTGCAAATAGTCCGGGTAGCCATGATTAGCTGTTCAGGAGTCTTATGGCTTGGGGGTAGAAGCTGTTGAGAAGTCTTTTGGACCTAGACTTGGCACTCCGGTACCGCTTGCCGTGCGGTAGCAGAGAGAACAGTCTATGACTAGGGTGGCTGGAGTCTTTGACAATTTTGAGGGCCTTCCTCTGACACCGCCTGGTATAGAGGTCCTGGATGGCAGGGAGCTTTGCCCCAGTGATGTACTGGGCCGTACGCACTACCCTCTGTAGTGCCTTGCGGTCAGAGGCCAAGCAGTTGCCATACCAGGCGGTGATGCAACCAGTCAGGATGCTCTCGATGGTGCAGCTGTAGAATTTTTTGAGGATCTGAGGACCCATGCCAAATCTTTTTAGTCTCCTGAGGGGGAATAGGCTTTGGTGTTAGCAGATGAGGACATCATGGTGTTAGCAGATGAGCCTGTTGAAGGGCTATGCGTGCTGTGCTTTAATGTCATGTTAGGTGATTATGCAAGCCAATGGAGCCCTGCCTTTGATGTCTGCCTGAAAACATGTGATTCTTATATTTCCTGCAAAGTTATTTATGACTTGTGGCGTGTGGATAAAGAACAGTGAAACAACCTGACTCCTTTACCGAGCCCTTTGCGAAATTTGGACGATGAGTGGAACTTAATCCTTCAGGGAGCCTGAGAGCCATGAGTCAGTCAGCATGGAAAATGTGCAATGTGATTCGAAATTCCCCAAAATCCTTTAAGAGCTTTGAGGAGGTCACGCTACATGAAGGGACGAAACGGAGAGCAGATATGACGCGATCATGTCTTGTCAGAAGAAATCCAACTCTGTTGTGTTAATGCAGGGCCTTCCTGTGTGTGTGTGTCTCTCCCTCCCTCTCTCTCCGTCTTGCTCAGGTCCATGTCAAAGTCACCGTTCCCAAAGGCATCAAGTTTGTGGGCCACCCCGGGAAGCATCACCTAACCAGGAAGAAGTGTGTTGCTCCAGGAGAGGCCACACCCACATCCATAGTGCTGTCCTTCACTGAGCTGGGCGCGGCCAACATCACAGGTTATTCAATCTAGTCAGTTACTGGGAAACCCCTGGGGAAGAGTTCCAAGTTCTCTCATAGTTCTTACGGTTCCGGAAATCCTCAGTTTTCTGATGTTGTAAGCGTATTGCTAATAGCTCTTGAAGTTTGGGATTTGATTCATAGGATATTGCAGGTTGGTATGGTACGCTGCCCCTTTGTGAATGCTGTTGTTACATGCTGTAGGAGTAACACCTACCTTTTAGCTCTCCTCTCCATCCAACCCTAAATCCATGAGGCCTTTGAAGGCTTAAGGCATCCACATTCTTCCCAGCCGAAACAGTTCGGAAGAGTTTGTGCATATATATATATTAAAAAAAAAATGTACTCACAATTTCGGGACATCCAATTGGTAGTTACAGTCTTGTCCCATCGCTGCAACTCCCGTACGGACTCGGGAGAGGCGAAGGTCGAGAGCCATGCGTTCTCCGAAACACGACCCTGCCAAGCCGCACTTCTTCTTGACACACTGCTCACTTAACCCGGTAGCCAGCCGCACCAATGTGTCGGAGGAAACACCGTACAACTGGCGACCGTGTCAGCGTGAATGCGCCCGGCCCGCCACAGGAGTCGCTAGAGCGCGATGGGACAAGGACATCCCGGCCAGCCAAACCCTCCCCTAACCCGGACAACACGGGGCCAATTGTGCGTTGCCTCATGGGTCTCCCGGGATTGGACCTTGATCTGTAGTGACGCCTCAAGCACTGCAGTGCCTTAGACCGCTGCGCCACTCGGGTTGCCATTTCCTGCATATATTATGACGACATTGCGAAATACTGCACCAAACAGCTTAGTTAGATGTAAAATTGCACAACTAATATCTCCTCTGCAAAAACTTCCAAATTAATGACAGATTTCTGAGTTATCTTAGATTAATTGTGACTATTTTGAGGAAATGTATACTACGGCGTCTCAAAATGGACAAACAGTACTATTGCCGCTTTGTTCTCGCGAAGGTCTTTTAAGGGTGTATGCGAGCAGACTCGTTCGGTTTGCCTAGCCGACGTCGGCTAGCCGCCAGCCGAACTGAAGCATGCTGACGCCTTTATGTGATCTGGTCATCCAGCGATACAAATAGTCCCCTCAAAGGTACAAAGCGGGCCACCAGCGGGGGAGCAGCCGGGGCCTTGCACTGACACTCAGTGGCATGTTGATGAGTTTTCAGGTCACTGGTGGTCAATTGGCCCCCCACGGCTCTCTCTCTGTCCACTGGCCCCTAGTCTTTCCCTCTCATTACACACACACAAAGAGAACACATTGGCACACAGCCACGTCTCCAATGTGCTTCTCTGCAAAGGGAACTACATGTTCTTTAACAATCATGATTTGTGTTGTTGTGCAATGTGGGATTGTGTTGTTGATAGATAGATGTATGGTGCAGTTAAAGGTGTGCATTTACAAAACTATTTCATTAACATAACTATGTTTTCTTCAAATAGCATTCTTCACAGTATAGTCTCTTGGCTGCTTGTTCGATTTATTTTATACAGTAAATTTGTACTTAAAATGTATGCAATAAAAGTCCTGCTTAGTGGGAACTTACAAGCAACAAAAAAAACATCCTGATATACAGTATGGTGAGGTGAAGTATATCTCTGTTTTTCCTGCCGTAGCACGGGCCATTGCCTATAGTGAGCCGGGCTGCTGCTTAGATGGACTCCAGTCAACTAAAACAGGCAAAAACATAGATGACCTGGAGGACCGGAGGACCCCCATTGGCCTTGACTATGTCCGAAGGAGTGTCCTGGTGGAGGTATGAGAAATGGGGGAGAGACTGCCTGGGGAGAGAGCTGAGATGGGGAGCAAATGCTTGCTGTACCATGTACTGTCATTAGTAGAGAGTGATGTCAGCTCTAACATGTTGTTTCTCCCCCTACAGCCAGAGGGCCTGCCAAGACAGTACACCTACAGTGTCTTCTTCTGCCCCAACGGTCAGTATACAGTTATATATTGTACTATAGTACTACACGGGTATAAGAGCAAGTACATTTTAAGTGTTACCCAACACCTTTCTGCCTCTACAGTCTGGTTTATTTTCTGCACTGGGCCACAATTTAATGTGAATCTGACATTTCTATTCTCAGAGCGAATCCACGTCTCCACACCCAACAAGTATGAGTACCAGTACGTGAAGAAGCCGGCCAAGATGACTCACTTTGAGGTGGCAGTGAAGACCCACAACGATGCCCATTTTGCCTTCTCACCCAGCCCCCACGACAGTGCTGAGATGCTGGAGATTGTACTGGGGGGCAGACAGAACACCCGCTCCTGGATCTCCCTGGGCAAGATGGGCGAGCCAGTGGTCAGCTCCCCCACCCCGGGCATCCTCTCCTGGGATGAGTTCCGCAGCTTCTGGGTCAGCTGGAAGGGTGGCGTGGTGCAGGTGAGAGGAGGGGGATGATCAAGCCTAGTTCTCTTTTTGTTATTGTAGCATCTATTCTATATAATGAGTTCTGGGATTTGTGTCCTCATATGAATCCTATACAGATCCACTGTGGCATCTCCAACATAGAGCCCCAGTCAGACAGTCAGACAGGCAGACAGACAGTCACTCAGACAGTCAGTCAGTCACTCAGTCAGTCACTCAGTCAGTCAGCAGGTCAGGGCTTGAGGTAGAGTATAGTAGTGAGTTGGGGTAGTGAGTTAGAGAGGGAGCGTTCGACTGGGCAGGCACAGGGGCTGTGTAGTCAAGAGGACTGGCGCCACTTTTAATGACATACCTGTGAGGTCACGCTTAACGGGCTGGACACTCGGTGATCCGTGTCGTCCGCATGGCGCTGCCTGGCACACAGGCCTGAACCCTGCATTAGCCTCGCACCATTCACCAAAGGGAGCAATTAAAACCCTGCAGTTTAACCCAGTATGGCCCAATAAGAATCATTTATTTTTCTAGTGACTGATTGCATTTCGGTTTGATGAGCCATTTTCAGCTCTGCATGGTCTTTGGTTTAATGTGATTACAAAATGGCTATAAATACCCAGGGTGCGATCTGTTCATTTGGAACTACGGATTGAGTGGATGTAGGAAAAAGGTGATGCAGACTGCTGTTGCTAACTCTTGGCAATGGATTTTATGTGTGCCTAGGATTTGAAATGCAAAAGCAACCCAAACTGCTTTTTAAGTAGAATCTTATTGGTTTCCAGTATTTTACTTATTGACTTTAAGCCACAGGGGCTTCCTCTGTACAGCATTTGCGAACACTTATTTCTATCATGTTCTCATTAGATAGTCATTTAATCGGGGTGAAATTCAGAACCACATTTATATCGTGTCAGGCTTTTATTGGAATGTGGCAAAACCCAAGGCACTACACATCTGTTGTGACAACCATATAATTTGAATTACAACATCCTGGCTATCTCTCTGAGTTTGACCAGCACTCGAGGTAGAATTGCCCGTAAACACAGATTTAGAATCAGATACCTTACCCCCAATCCTAATCAGTAGGTCAATGAAAGACACCTGACCCTGCATCAGTGGTTAGGGACAACTTCACCCTTTCACTCCAGTCAAAAACCTCTAAACTCTCAAATCGATCTCTGATAGGTCGGACATGGCTTGCAGCCGTCCAATGAGTCGGTGATCCTGCAGTGGTCCGGCCACCTCCCTGGCCAGGTGCGTCACATAGGTTTCTCCACGGGCTGGGGCTCGGTGGGGGAGTTTAAGATCTGGAGGAAGGAGGACTCTGATGAGAACCACAACGAGGCCTTCACCCTGGGCGTCCCTCACAACGTGGTGCCTGGCTCTGAGACCGCCACCGCCTCCATGATAGGTGAGGAGGGAGACAATTGATTTATCATCCATTTCTCTTCGTTCTCAAAGCCCTATAATTTCCATTATCTGAAGGTCTGCTTCTCTTCCTCCTATTCACTTTGACATACCTTGTCCATGTGGTTAATTAGTTGGCATGAATAATTTCTCTCTGAATGACGTTTGATGAAACAGAAGAAGAGATGTTATCTCAATAAAACTAACTTTATGTGAGGCAGTGTTGCTGAACAATTTCTGTTTTGTGATGTGTCAGGGGACGTGATGGGCCCCACCCTCAACAACCTGGACAAGCTGCTGCGGCTGCCCTTCGGCTGTGGGGAGCAGAACATGATCCACTTCGCCCCCAATGTCTTTGTCCTCAAGTACCTGCAGAAGACCAGACAGCTCAGCCCTGAGGTGGAGGCCGAGGCCACAGACTACCTGCTGCAAGGTAACCACCGGAGAGATCAAGTAGTTCATGGACTGTGAGACCTAGGGCCAAATCCTACCTTCAGAACCTTGAGATATTCCCTTTGCGTGATGTCAGTTACCCCTGTGAAGATCATCTTATAAAGTCAATGCATTTACCATCCACTTAGTTCTAAAACAGTGTTTCGCTGATATTCACCTGGGCCCAGATTCACAAAACCTTCATAAGAAGACATTTCTTCTTAACTGTCATTTTTTAATTAACAATAGACATGAGAGAAAGTTAAGCAAAGTTGCTCTTCCTCAAAAAGGTTATTGGAAAATGTCTTGCGCTATTTCTTATGTTTCTCCTTAAGCAAAAAGTTAAGAAGAAATTAGATTCTTGAAAGTAAAGTTATTGGAAATCTTAATTCCAATATAGTTAAACACTTGTCTTAAACTCAGGGCAGGGAGAGAAAAAGCTCATGAAAGCAATTGAACATGTTTAATTCACTCACAAACTAAATCTGAAAGTTTTAGTATTGATTATTTTAAACCCAAGAACATATTTTAGAAGAGTAATCTCAGTAAGAAATATGCTAACATGATTGCCATTGCTAGCTAGATAGCTAGCTAAAACGGTTGCCTAGCAACAAATATCTTAAGAAGATTTGTAAGAAGATATTTGAGAAGTTCGTAAGAAAATCATAAAATCTTAAGCTATTGTTGAGGAATTGCACTTACGAACTACCTTATGAACTTCTTTTTTTTTCTTTTCTTAAGGATCTTACGTTTTTGTGTAAGAAGTGTTTTGTGAATCTGGGCACTGGTTTGGATATCAGTATTAATGCAAAAGTACTTTAGCATCAACCCACTGATTCTTTCTCCCCTGCACCATCCCAGGGTACCAGAGACAGCTGACCTATAAGCGCCAGGATGGATCCTACAGTGCCTTTGGAGAGAGGGACTCCTCTGGGAGCATGTGGTAAGTCATCTACTCTTCACTTAGGTTTACATCCCTCAGTAAGTCATCACTTAGGTTTACATCCCTCAGTTAGTCATCACTTAGGTTTACATCCTTCAGTTAGTCATCATTTAGCTTTACATCCCTCAGTTAGTCATCACTTAGGTTTACATCCCTCAGTTAGTCATCACTTAGGTTTACATCCTTCAGTAAGTCCTCTAGTCTTCCCTTAGGTTTACACCCCTCAGTTAGTCATCACTTAGGTTTACACCCTCAGTTAGTCATCACTTAGGTTTACATCCCTCAGTTAGTCATCACTTAGGTTTACATCCTTCAGTTAGTCATCACTTAGGTTTACACCCCTCAGTTAGTCATCACTTAGGTTTACACCCCTCAGTTAGTCATCACTTAGGTTTACACCCCTCAGTTAGTCATCACTTAGGTTTACATCCCTCAGTTAGTCATCACTTAGGTTTACACCCCTCAGTAAGTCCTCTACTCTTCCCTTAGGTTTACATCCTGCACGTCAGTTCACTCCGGAAGGTACATAGATTAAAACTGCATACCGCTCGTCCACTTACCCTGACCTGAAGTGGGTTATTGGCAGAAACAATGGGAGCTCTTATCAGTAACATTGTATATGCATGGTCATACCCTCATATTCCTTTGTTTAAATCGGTCCGAGTTGTGCTCGCTGAGTGTTTATTTAATGTTTACACATCCCTGGAGGCAGGCAGGCGGCCACGACCATGTCATAATATTTGGAATAGTGAATACGGCGCGTATGAGAGGCTCCAATGTTCTGCTTGCATATTCAGGCCACTTGCATACCTTCAGGGTGATTTATTAGTTGATGTGGGTATTATGATATTTAATAGAGCTCAGACTGTGAAACAGTAGGTTAAATAAACCCAGGAGAATCATACACAAACGTATAATTGGTTCCCAAGGCAGCCGTGGGGCTCCAGTAAGTTATTTGCTGTTAAAGAGGGTTAATGCACGCGGAACAGAATGGCCCCTGGTTGTTTTGGCCCAGGGGCGAAGCAGCACCTCTGTATGTAGGCTACACTGACTACACCCCCCCATCCTCCTCCTCACAGCCTACTACCACTGGAGACACAGGAGCTTGCTAGGCTCTAGGCCACTTAATGAAAAAAGCATTTTGCCTCTCAACATGCCCTAGAAACTGGAACTGGGGCATGTCTTGTCCAAAGCAATTGAATCACTGCTCTGGTGTAATTGGTAATATCATTCAACTTTTCCATGAAAACCCTTGAAACCTCCATATGCAGGAAGAGGATATTAAGAAGATATGAAGTGTAACGGTCATAATAGTATAAGCGTTGGTTTTGGAGCCTCGGGCAACATGGCAGGACACAGATGTTGAACCTCATGTAAACCTGTAGCAACAAACTCTTTATTAATCCATCAACTTGGTGTTTATATGTCAGAACAACCCACCTTTTGTTTGGGCTCCAGAGTTAGTCATTAGTACAGGTCATTTATGGGCAAGTAAACAGCGTTCTTAATGCAGTGTTAATGTATTCCAGTTGTAAAATGGTATCTAAGCGGAAATTGTAGGGCATAATGAAAAGATTGTACGTAATGACACAGGCAGTAATGTCTTATTAGGCTAATGCTGGGTCTGGGTGATGCCAAGGCCCTTAGCCCTACTCTACTCTACTTTTCTCTACTCTACTCTACTCTACTCTACTTTTCTCTACTCTACTCTACTTTTCTCTACTCTACTCTACTTTTCTCTACACTACTCTGTTCTACTCTGGTCTGGTCTCTGTCCCTGTGGGTTGAACAGTCCCTGTGGGTTGAACAGTCCCTGTGGGTTGAACAGGACCTTGGGACACAGAGCTGAGGATGAGGAGGGGCTGGTTCTCATCACTAACTCCTGCTTGCCTCTCAGGCTGGTGTGTGTGTGTTTAGGGTGGTGGTGTTGGGATATATCAACATGTCTTTGCGGGATTGGAGGTGGGTGTATTGTGGTGAGGCCTGGAGCGGAACTGACAGCCCCTCTTCTGGCATCGCTTGCATACCTGCCTCCGTCTGGATCCAATGAGAGCCACATGCTGCTGTAATCTGCAGAACCCCCACCACCACCACCCTCCACCCCCTCAATCCCTGTAGCCTACTTAATACCCTGGCCTGGGGTAAATATGCAGCCTGATGGAGGGCTCCACAGCTCCACACTGTGGGTCTGTTATTGGGAGTCACTCTAGACATCCGCATTGCCTCCCAAAATTCTCAAATGCTCCTAGAGTCTGGTTTTCGAGACTGTGTTAGTGGTTCCTGATTAGATACACACGGGACGTGTTGAGGCTGGCAAGGCATTTCCCTGTGAATGAGATTGATCTGGCAGTGGGGCTAGAGTGGATTGGATAGCAGAGATAGAGAGAACTGATCTACTGTGTTTTTAAACTATCTATTTCCACTCCAATGCCAAATAGGCATGGTGAGAAACTAGGGTGATTATAGCAGGAATTTTGTGTTTTTATCAAGCCAGATCTTAGATAACTGGGTGCTGGATTGGTAGATGTTTACATATTGAAATGGAGAATGGTTGTTATTGCTCTGTGCTTGGATATGGTAACCCTTTCTCTCCTCTCTCACACACACTGCCATGGAAGCCCTGGTGCGTGTGTATCCATATGGTTTTACCACAAACAGAGCACTCTATCATTCATTCAAACTAAAACTGACTGCAGTAACAACTGTGCGAGAACCAGGGCCATCTGCTGCCTTTTAAGACTTTGAGGAACTATAATTTTGACTTTGAGGAACTATAATTTTGACTATCTTTACTTTGAAGATTCAAATTCGTCTATTTGGACTCCATATGACCCATTATTTACAACTACTACTCAAACAATAAATCTGTTTATAAAACCTGCATCAAAATAACCAGTAGCCAGGGAATTTATCATGTTGTGGCGTTGTTAACATGGGACGTATTTGTCAGTAAGCCTCGGTCGTTCCTGTAGGCAATTATAAAAACCTTGGTTTCAACTTACAACGACGTTCCAGGATGCAGCTCCAATGTGCTGTTCTGAATGACCTCTGTGTGCTATCCAGAAAAACATGTAAACAACCTCCCCAAACTGCAATACAAGGGGAGTGGAAGCCCGGAGGGAGGGACTTCAGCAGGCCAGAGTGGAGGAAGCAGCCCTGTCTCGGTCATTTCCTCGCACACTAAATCATCTATACGCTACCCAGCACCTCTCTCCGGTGCCTGGCAGTTAAAGCCGGTGACACAATATTACTTAACATTATAAAAATTCCTGCCGGCTTAAGGCTCCATCCCTGCTCCCTCTCTGGGGAGACATAACTTTCAGGGCCCAGCAAGGGAAGATTTAGTACCGTGGTTTATGGGAGAGAGTTATTTCTTACTCTCTTGGTTTGTTCCTTCAGTTACGGCCCAAATGTATGTTTGGGGGAAAACACACATGGTTTATTTATTTATTACACCTTTTTATGGTAAGCAGCGTGCCTCATCATCATCACTTTGTTGCTGTGGGGAGGATGCTGTAATGGAATGCCAGTCTGTAATTAAAGAGCATTGGCCGGAGTGTGAAGGTTTCACTGAAGGGCAGTTGTTTATGCATGAACGTGTGTTTATTAGCTTAGCCAGGTCCCTCAGTCATCACCATTGGCATCTCTGTGGGTCTTGAGTTCTTCTCTGTGATTCCCGCTGTGATTCCAGTTCAGAAACTACAGGTCACACACTGTTGCTGCAGATTAGGAATGCCAACCCTGGGGATGGCTGTTTGTATATGTTCAGAATGCTTACGGGATATTCCGGCATGCAGAAACATACTTGATTTTTCTTTGTGAAATTCCTTGTTCTTGAGACAGAACAGCTGCTGGATCCTGTGGTGGCAATCTGTGCTTTCCCACTCCTCCTCCATCTTCCCCTCTTTCATCTTCATCTGCTCTCCCTCGCTTCGTACCCCTCCCTCCACCCCCCTCTCTGTCAGTCTGTCTGTTTTTGCCTGACAGAATTTTGATGTAGTTTGATCTTCTCAGCATGACGTGCTGTGTAGTTTGATTTTCTCAGCATGACATGCTGTGTAGTTTGGTATTCTCAGCATGATGTGCCGTGTAGTTTGGTCTTCTCAGCATGACGTGCTGTGTAGTTTGGTCTTCTCAGCATGACGTGCTGTGTAGTTTGGTCTTCTCAGCATGACGTGCTGTGTAGTTTGATTTTCATAGCATAACGTGCTGTGTAGTTTGATCTTCATAGCATGACGTGCTGTGTAGTTTGATCTTCTCAGCATGACGTGCTGTGTAGTTTGATCTTCTCAGCATGACGTGCTGTGTAGTTTGGTCTTCTCAGCATGACGTGCTGTGTAGTTTGATCTTCTCAGCATGACGTGCTGTGTAGTTTGATCTTCATAGCATGACGTGCTGTGTAGTTTGATCTTCTCAGCATGACGTGCTGTGTAGTTTGATCTTCTCAGCATGACGTGCTGTATAGTTTGGTCTTCTCAGCATGACGTGCTGTGTAGTTTGGCATGTATCAGCTGCCATCTCACTCATCCTTGTTGCTGTTGAGAGATATAAAAGGTGTGACTGGTTTGGGAATATTTCACCCCATTCAAATGGTTTATGTGAAGTTTGCTAAGTATTTTTGAATGATATGTCAGCACATGCTTGAAAGAGTCCCAATCCCTCTCTCTCGCTGTCTCTTCCCTCTTTCTCTCTCCTCTCCAGGCTGACAGCATTTGTGTTGAAATCCTTTGCTCAGTCTCGTGGGTTCATCTTCATTGACCCAGAGGAGCTGCATGCTGCCAAGGCCTGGCTCATCAACCACCAGAGAGAGGAGGGCTCCTTCCCCGCCATGGGACGCATCCTCAACAAAGACCTGCAGGTGTGTGTGTGTGTGTACTGTGTGTGTGTGCGTGTTTTCATAAGCACCATTAACCAGTGTTATTCTCCATCTAAAGGGAGGAATCCATGGAAAGATCTCGTTGACGGCGTATGTGGTTGCAGCCCTCCTGGAGACAGGAATAGCTTCGGAGGTAAGAGGATCAGTGGGGGGACCATGACCTCTCCGATTAAACACCCTCACCTCCCGAACAGTATTATTTAGCACAGTATTCCTCAAGGGGCGAATCTTAACCTGACATTTATATGTTAGTGTAAATTTGACATTTAATGAAACTTTCAGGCTCAGACCTAATACCAGACTACAAATACAGCTCTCTCTCTCATCCAGATATAGGTTGTGTGTGTGTGTGTGTGTGTGTGTGTGTGTGTGTGTGTGTGTGTGTGCGCGTGCATGTGACTGTGTTTGCCAGTACATTCCCATCAGTTGGAAATATGGATGTCCTGGCACAGAGCCCAATCATATTTGTTATGCTCCAGTGGCGGTAATTTAATATCTAATCCCTGGCTGACTGCATCAAGAGATTTATGAGGAGGACATGCAGAGACAAGGATGCCTGTGAAAGGTAGTACACCCAGGCCACATTCCTGTCACCTCGCCATGCTCTTACCCTGGTGCTGAACCCTGGACGACGTGCTCACCGTCCTGTTGAACTCTCTGCAGTGTGCATTGAAGCAACACATAGGACACACTGGCAGTTGAACATTTGATCAACGTCATGGTCGCTCTAGTAAAAAGAGATCTTTGGCTATTGAAAGGTAGCAGTGTCCTTATTTTAGGGCCAAGTGTGGTATGCCCTTTATCTGTCGTTGTTGCAAAAGAATGTTGCTGTTTATGTGTACAGTGACTGAGTCCATGTAATGTTTATGCTTTGTCCTTCATTGAGTGTGTTGCCAATACCAATGTTAAAATCCAGATTGTTATTGTGTCAGCTCTCTGTTCATTCAGGCACAGCTCTTCGCAAAGTATTCACAAAGTATTTTTTCACTCTAGTTCCCTTCCATCCATTTCCCTCCCCCTTCACCAAACCCACCTCTTCTCTTCCAGTCTTCCTATCCTTCCCTATCTATCCTGAAGGGCTCTCCAGAGAACCAGGCCTCTAAAACTGATACTAACTGAAAAGGGATACTTGACATCAAAGCAAAACTCCTTCTTCCTTCCAAATTCAGTTAATTAAAAGGTGACTGGACAGATTAAAGTGAGTGGCTGTTGAGGTCTCTCATCTGAGCACATCTGGAAAAGCTCCTGCCTTTAATGGCAAAGTCTATGTTTATTAGCCTTTTGATAAGCAGCACATCTGAGTTGGGGAGTATGAGTTGGAACAGGACTGATCTTGAACACTCAGCAAAGATCAAATATGCCGGACTTAAGTTAAAGATGAATACGGAGGGATGGAGGGAGGGAGTTGTGGAGAGAGGTGTATCCATTACTCATACGAAGGTTTGGTCTGTGTGCACACATATGTGTGACATGTGTTAGCGCACCTGTGTGCTTGTTTATGTCTATTTCTATAAATATGTGTACTCTTCCCCAGGAGGAGAAGACAGCTGTGGCCAAGGCAAAGGGTTTCCTGGAGAGTAACACATACTCAGCTGATGACCCGTACACCACAGCCCTGTCTGCCTACGCCCTGGCCCTGTTACGAAGCCCCTACGCCACCCTCGCCCTCCGACGCCTCAACCACATGGCCATCACACAAGGTACTCAGCTGTTAGGAAGTTTGGTTGCCTACCAATTCATATACAGTGAGGGAAAAAAGTATTTGATCCCCTGCTGATTTTGTATGTTTGCCCACTGACAAAGACATGATCAGTCTACAATTGTAATGGTTGGTTTATTTGAACAGTGAGAGACAGAATAACAACAACAAAATCCAGAAAAACGCATGTCAAAAATGTTATAAATTGATTTGCATTTTAATGAGGGAAATAAGTATTTGACCCCTCTGCAAAACATGACTTAGTACTTGGTGGCAAAACCCTTGTTGGCAATCACAGAGGTCAGACGTTTCTTGTAGTTGGCCACCAGGTTTGCACACATCTCAGGAGGGATTTTGTTCCACTCCTCTTTGCAGATCTTCTCCAAGTCATTAAGGTTTCGAGGCTGACGTTTGGCAACTCGAACCTTCAGCTCCCTCCACAGATTTTCTACGGCATTAAGGTCTGGAGACTGGCTAGGCCACTCCAGGGCCTTAATGTGCTTCTTCTTGAGCCACTCCTTTGTTGCCTTGGCCGTGTGTTTTGGGTCATTGTCACGCTGGAATACCCATCCACGACCCATTTTCAATGCCCTGGCTGAGGGAAGGAGGTTCTCACCCAAGATTTGACGGTACATGGCCCCGTCCATCGTCCCTTTGATGCGGTGAAGTTGTCCTGTCCCCTTAGCAGAAAAACACCCCCAAAGCATAATGTTTCCACCTCCATGTTTGACGGTGGGGATGGTGTTCTTGGGGTCATAGGCAGCATTCCTCCTCCTCCAAACACGGCGAGTTGAGTTGATGCCAAAGAGCTTGATTTTGGTCTCATCTGACCACAACCCTTTCACCCAGTTCTCCTCTGAATCATTCAGATGTTCATTGGCAAACTTCAGACGGGCCTGTATATGTGCTTTCTTGAGCAGGGGGACCTTGTGGGCGCTGCAGGATTTCAGTCCTTCACGGCGTAGTGTGTTTCCAATTGTTTTCTTGGTGACTATGGTCCCAGCTGCCTTGAGATCATTGACAAGATCCTCCCGTGTAGTTCTGGGTTGATTCCTCACCGTTCTCATGATCATTGCAACTCCACGAGGTGAGATCTTGCATGGAGCCCCAGGCCGAGGGAGATTGACAGGTATTTTGTGTTTCTTCCATTTGCGAATAATCGCACCAACTGTTGTCACCTTCTCACCAAGCTGCTTGGCGATGGTCTTGTAGCCCATTCCAGCCTTGTGTAGGTCTACAATCTTGTCCCTGACATCCTTGGAGAGCTCTTTGGTCTTGGCCATGGTGGAGAGTTTGGAATCTGATTGATTGACTGCTTCTGTGGACAGGTGTCTTTTATACAGGTAACAAACTGAGATTAGGAGCACTCCCTTTAAGAGTGTGCTCCTAATCTCAGCTCGTTACCTGTATAAAAGACACCTGGGAGCCAGAAATCTTTCTGATTGAGAGGAGGTCAAATACTTATTTCCCTCATTAAAATGCAAATCAATTTATAACATTTTTTACATGGATTTTTTTGTTGTTATTCTGTCTCTCACTGTTCAAATAAACCTACCATTAAAATTATAGATTGATCATTTCTTTGTCAGTGGGCAAACGTACAAAATCAAATACTTTTTTCTCTCACTGTAAAACACTAAACTGACATGACAGACCCATTGTTCTTCCACATACTGTTTCTTACACTTTCGTCTCTCTCCATTTCCTTCTTTGTCTTTCTTCTCTCTTTCAATCAGACGGCTTCACCCACTGGAGTCTGACAGGCAGCACGGTGACAGATGAGGACACCTTCATGGGCTTTAGTGACGGTCTTTCTCAGTCAGGTATACACACACTGTCTGGCCACAGCTAGACTATCCTCTATGACTGATGATTCTGATGTTCTTAGATCTTGACTTTTAGTATTAGTTAGGCTGTCTGGTGTTTGTATGCTAATAGTCTCCTCCATGTCCCAGTGGTGTCAGCGGAGGTGGAGATGACAGCATATGGACTGCTGACCTACGCCCTGCTGGGTGACGTGGCCTCCGCCCTGCCTGTGGTCAAGTGGCTCTCCCAGCAGAGGAACGCCCTCGGGGGCTTCTCCTCCACACAGGTACCCCTCACAAACACTGGAGAACCAGAGCCTCTCAGCCTCTTAGTCAAAAGCATTCTCCCAGATTAATCTCTCCCATATGTATTATTGTGTTTTTTAAGCGGCCAAATGGTTTTATTTTACCTTTAATTTACCAGGTTTTACCAGGTTAGCCTGATAATCTCTTTTAGAAGAGAGAACTGTCTCACAAAGGTATATTTGAAACAAATGGTAATTGGTCATCTGGTCAGTCAGTGTCCAAAGCCGCCTCCTAATAACTGTCTGTCCATCCACTCTCCTAGGACACGTGTGTGGCCCTTCAGGCGTTGTCTGAGTATGCCATCCTGTCATACGTGGGAGGAGTCAACCTGACCATCTCTCTGGCCTCTACAAACCTGGACTTCCAGGAGAGCTTTGAACTGCACCGCGACAACCAAAAGATCCTACAGAGCGCCTTGGTAAGGAGTATGGTCACATTGCCACTAGACTCTAATGTAAGGTCAGTTATGTTTTTTCCCATAATGGTTAAGGTTAGGATTGGAGGAAGGTAATCTGATCCTAGATCTGTGCCTAAGGGCATCTTCTTTCTGAGGTAAACGCTCTTGCTCAGGTGGTGAAGGGACCTCTACTGGACCATGATACACATAGAAACTAAAGTTACACAATTGTCAGTTTTCAATTATGAAAGGTACCTTAAATAACATCCACAAAGTCAATTCAGTTGAGGATAACAATGAGACTCTATCTAAGAGCAGTGGAATGTGTTTCCCAGTGAAGGAACCAGTGAGTGTTTTCAGGCTATGCGTCTACATTTCCTTCTCCTTCCCAAGCACCTGCCTATCAGTCACAGTGAGGGAATGGCTCAGGTGAGGGCATTAACTTTTCTTCCCTCTGCCGGGCATGTAATTCTCTGCCGTAATTAGCTCTGTCAGTTTAATTGGGGGTAATTTAGCTGTGCTGGTTAGTGGCCATGCTATTTGACTGCTGCTGCTTGGGTCTACAGCATTAATTCACTTGATAAGTGTCTCTCTCACCCCCCCCCCCATCTTTTTCTCTCTTTCTCTCTCTCTCAACCCCATTTTTTTTCTCTCCTCTCGCTCTCTTTCTCTCTAGATCCCCAGTATTCCCACAGGGCTGTTTGTCAGTGCTAAAGGCGAGGGCTGCTGTCTAATGCAGGTATGTTACTACTGATCTCCTCTTCTACCATTATATCCTTCACTCACACTGAGAATTCACCAGAGGGGAAAAGCCAGTCCATTCCCATGACTCATTGCTCTAATGCCCAAATTCCTGACTGTAAATTGGAATGATCTGGTAGAACTTAGGCAGTTGTTCGGCAGGGACTGTTCGTTCCTCAATAACACTGATGCCTTGGATAGGATGCTGTTTTCGCTGTACCTTGTCACTAAAAACAAAAGGCTCTTTGAGGCCAGGGTGCATAAACAACTTCTTGGGGGGGGGGTTCCCCATGCAGCTTCCTGCTCTAGATAGAACACAGCGTTCCTCCTCTCCTCTCCTCTCCTCTCCTCTCCTCTCCTCTCCTCTCCTCCTCTCCTCTCCTCTCCTCTCCTCTCCTCTCCTCTCCTCTCCTCTCCTCTCCTCTCCTCTCCTCTCCTCTCCTCTCCTCTCCTCTCCTCTCCTCTCCTCTCCTCTGCTGCATGTTTAGAAGAGCCTGTCAACCTTATCCAGCTTCACATGACAGGTGATCATTACACTGGTCTCAAATGGGCTCTGTGATCCTTCAGATAACACTAACAGTTATTGGATCCTTTGAAAAAGGACATAAAGCTTATGTGTATTACTACTGTTTTAATGCTGCAGTTATATATATATATATATATATATATATATATATCAATCAGTCAAATATATTTTATAAAGCCATTTTTACATCAGCAGTTGTCACCAAATGCTATAGAAACCCAGCCTAAAACCCCAAAGACCAAGCAATGCAGATGGCTAAGAAAAACTCCCTAGAAAGGCAGGAACTTAAGAAGAAACCTAGAGAGGAACCAGGTTCCGAGGGGTGGCCAGTACTCTTCTGGTGTGTCAGGTGGAGATTATAAGAGTACATGGCCATTAAGGCATTCCACAGAGATGCTGGCCCATGTTGACTCCAATGCTTCCCACAGTTATGTCACGTTAACTGGATGTCCTTTGGGTGGTGGACCATTCTTGATACACACGGGAAACTGTTGAGCGTGAAAAACCCAGCAGTGTTGCAGTTCTTGATACACTCAAACCGGTGTGCCTGGCACCTACTACCATACCCTGTTCAAAGGCACATCAATATTTTGTCTTGCCCATTCACCCTCTGAATGGCACACACACACAATCCATGTCTCAATTGTCTCAAGGCTTAAAAATCCTCCCCTTCATCTACACTGATTGAAGTGGATTTAACAGGTGACATCAATAAGGGATCATAGCATTCACATGGATTCAACTGGTCAGTGTATGTAATGTTTTGTACACTCAGTGTATATAGGAGCCATGGCTGGAGAAGGCAACTATTGCTGACTATCTCTGCCCCCCTCCACTCCTCCATACCTCCCTCCATCTATACACACATCTCTTTTCCTCCTTTCACACCTCTATCCCTCCATCCACACCTCTCCCTCCCTCAGCACATCCCTCTCTCCCTCTCTCCAGTCTGACAGTGCCTGAGGCCTGGAGCACCTGGGCTGTAATGAGACGACAACATCAGCATGATGAAAGCGAGAGAGCCTGTGTGTGTGTGTGTGTGTGTGTGTGTGTGTGTGTGCTAGCTTCCACATTCAATGGGTTTTCTCTGCAACACAGGTTTGCTCTGCACCTCTGCACCTCTGCACTTTCTATTACACCCACAATCTGGAATACATTCTGTCTCTCTAAGCCACGCTGCTTGTTCTCTCCTCAGATTGATGTGTCCTACAACGTGCCTGACCCCTTGGCCAAGCCAGCCTTCCAGCTCAAGGTGGACCTGAAGGAACCCAGGCAGGAGCGCCACCCGCCAGCACCACCCTCCCCCCGCCACCCTAGCCCTCGCTCCCGTTCCCGTGCCGACAACCGCTCAGAGCTGAGCCGCAAACGCCGGGCGGCCACCGATGATGAAGACCCCGCAGCTCACCAAGACAACCTGGACTACCGCATCACCCTGGAAGCTTGTGCCAGGTACTGCAGAGACAGTCGGCTCAGTGCAGCAGCCTTTAGCCTAGCTAGCATTTAGCCTGGTAGTTTGCCTAGTTCTGCTAGCATTTAGCTTAGCATCTAACTCTGTTTCTCTCTCTTCAGGTGGCTCCACTCAGGTTCTTCCAACATGGCTGTCTTGGAGGTCCCTCTGCTGTCAGGTTTCTGTGCCGATGTGGAAAGCTTGGAGACGGTAGGACATAAACATACACACACACATTACAATGTCAGACAGACAGACAGACACGGCTCACATCTGAAGGCCATTTCAGAGGAGGCGGTGTGGCGTGGAATTTATCAGGTGAAGTAGGCACGAATGTCCTTTCTTTTTCGGCTTCCTAATTCTCACTTGAAACCGTTTTTGTGTTTAATAGGCTAAATTAAATATTTCAGATTTAAATATGATTATTTATCACGAAGTAGTTTGGATGTGGTGAAGTACTATATTTTTCTTAAGGGTAGTTTTAGTGTAGCTTAACTTCTTCCAGTGTAAAGTAATTGGTAGCTTAGTAAACTACTGTATATTTAGCTGCCCCTCCCCCCCACACACACTCAATTTTTTAAAACTCTATTACATGCCATGACATTGTTTCTCCTCTGTTGCTGTTTATGCTGCTCATGTTCTTCCCCACTGCGTCTCAGAAAGGTGTTTGTGGAGATTTGCTTATCAATGGATGAAGACGTTGAGTGGCTGAGACATGTGGCTCTGCTATTGCCCACATAAAGAATTATACAGTTTACTATAGAATACTATAGTCCTTACAATATAATTCTGTAGTAAACAGTAGTATACTGTAGAATACTATACTACATACGGTAGTATCCCTCAACCATGTGTAGTACTTAGTATGTAATTTTGAAGTATACTGTTGAATACTTTAGTAAATACTATGGTATTATTGACAAAAAAAACACTGTAGTAAATACTGCAAAAATGTCTGCAAAAAAACAACAACCTGCAAAAAAAAAAATTATATATATATATATATATAGTAAATACTACAGTATTTATTTGTATATACCCTGCCCATTCCCCTCCCCCATATCCCAATTTGTGTCACCTGTAAGTGAGAAACCTACATGCCAAGTATAGACCATATATTGTGTTCCCTATGGTTATAGAAAAGAGCAAAAGCTCTCCATTCAGACCCCAGTCCTACCTACCTACAGGTTATGGAACATTTGCTCTTTTAGTATTTCTCCAGTAGGTTTCATCAAGGAGAAAGCCCTCCACTTCTATGTCAAAGGATAATAAGGACAAAAACACTTTAGTAAATACTACAGTAATGTCCCCAAAAACACTACAGTAAATACAGGTGGCGAATCGCATCTCTGCATGTCTGACAGACATATCAGTGTGGATGACGGATCACCACCTCAAGCTGAACCTCGGCAAGACGGAGCTGCTCTTCCTCCCGGGGAAGGACTGCCCGCTCCATGATCTCGCCATCACGGTTGACAACTCTGTTGTGTCCTCCTCCCAGAGTACAAAGAACCTTGGCGTGACCCTGGACAACACCCTGTCGTTCTCGGCAAACATCAAAGCGTTGACCCGATCCTGTAGGTTCATGCTCTACAACATTTGCAGAGTACGACCCTACCTTACACAGGAAGTGGCACAGGTCCTAATCCAGGCACTTGTCATCTCCTGTCTGGATTACTGCAACTCGCTGTTGGCTGGGCTCCCTGCCTGTGCCATTAAACCCCTACAACTCATCCAGAACGCTGCAGCCCGTCTGGTGTTCAACCTTCCCAAGTTCTCTCACGTCACCCCGCTCCTCCGCACACTCCACTGGCTTCCAGTTGAAGCCCGCATCTGCTACAAGACCATGGTGCTTGCCTACGGAGCTGTGAGGGGAACGGCACCTCCGTACCGTCAGGCTCTGATCAGTCCCTACACCCAAACGAGGGCATTGCGTTCATCCACCTCTGGCCTGCTGGCCCCCCTACCTCTACGGAAGCACAGTTCCCGCTTAGCCCAGTCAAAACTGTTCGCTGCTCTGGCACCCCAATGGTGGAACAAGCTACCTCACGACGCCAGGACAGCGGAGTCACTCACCACCTTCCGGAGACACTTGAAACCCCACCTCTTTAAGGAATACCTGGGATAGGATAAAAGTAATCCTTCTACTCTCCCCCTACCCAAGCCCCCCCCCCCCAAAAAAAATAATAATAAGGTGAATGCACCAATTTGTAAGTCGCTCTGCTAAATGACGAAAATGTAATGTAAATGTACTACAGTATACTACAGTCTGCAAAAACACTACAGTAATGACTATAGTATATACTACAATTTTTTTGCTACAGTATTTATACTATAATGAACTGTAAATGCTACAGTATACTGCAGTAAATACTACAATATACTACAGTAAAATCTGTAAAAACACTACAGTTGAATACTATAGTATTCCTACCATACTTTTGTATTTTTTCATTTAGATGTGCTGGAACTCTTGGCAGACATAGCCAAAACTGGGTTGACTGGATCTATGTGTGTGTGTTTATGCAGCAGTTGAGAGAGTATTGAGAGAGTATTTTTACTGCAGTGTTTAAGGACTGTAGCGTTGTCTGGATGAGGGCCAACTCTGGCCCAGTGTTGGTTACTGTGTCTCTGGGGCTCCATTGGGAGCCAGGACAGGGGGCACCAACCCTCTGTGGGCCTAAAGCCCAGCCGCCAGGGCAGGGGAGGGCTGGGGCTGGGGGTTGCCACTGTTTATCCCAACTACCCCCCTCTGAGAGCCAGGGGAGAGAGACCCAGGGACCCATGGCAGCCATCTTAGGGAGGGGGTGAGAGGTTAGTTGAGGTCACCTCCCCAGGCCCTCATCAAATGCTTATCTCCCCCATTACTGCAGAGTTATAGGCCCCAGACTCCAGCTATCCACCTACCTGGGGGGAGATAACACACACGCGCACACACAATCACACACACACTAGCTCCCTGAGACTTGAGGGAGTCGGTGCTGACCTGTGTAGTGTAGTGGCTAACAATCTAGGTTTACAGAGCCACCCCTGCTAGCCTCCCTGCCTTACGACTGCCTGACTGCCTTGACCAGCCGCATTTCTCACTTTACGAGACGGAGCCTCGCTTACGCAGTCATGTGTTGTTGTTTTCATAGATGTTAATTGGAATGATTACACAACACACTTTGGCTTATGCCTCTGTAGCTGTTTTTATCAATATAATGAGCTGAGCTGAATGGAATAAAATGCCTCACATTAACTATGCTACCTATCTTATGTTACTGTAAGTGCTAGGAGAAGTTGAATGGAATACATTTCAAGTTGTTACTGTAATTATAGTTATTGTCAAGGGAAAAAACAACACAGCCAACACACAGCCTACTCACACACACACACACTTTATCACTCTCTACCAAACTGTGTGTGTGTGTGTGTGTGTGTGTGTGTGTGTGTGTGTCCCAGTGGCGCCAGCTCAGGCTGAGCACCTCATAAACTGAATCTGTCCGTAGGACTGCCACCTAGAGAGCCCTGTAGGAGGAATTAACACCCCGTTCCCCCATCAACCCCCCATGTTCCCCCAACACCCACCCCCTTAACGCAGTAAACAGCAACTCCCTCATAGATACTGATGCTGTTATTGGAAGCTGTCTCTGGCTCCCTCTCTTCAGCTTGTAAACAGGCTTGACCTATCTACAACTAGGCTGAAATGAGATCACCAGAATACTCATTGACCAGTGAGACAACAAAAAAGCTTAGCATTTAACCCTTTAAACTAAAAGGTTTTGACACTGGTAGAGCACGGCGCTTGTAACGCCAAGGTAGTGGGTTCGATCCCCGGGACCACCCATACACAAAAATGTATGCACGCATGACTGTAAGTCGCTTTGGATAAAAGCGTCTGCTAAATGGCATATTATATTATTATTATTATTATTATTATTATTATTATTATTATAATAGTGTTTGTTGTAAGGGATGTTATTAAATGTTTGGTTAATTGTAGATTAGAATATACACTGACCCCCATCCACTCCCCTTTTCTCATCAAACAGCTGCTGATGGACAAGAGGGTTGGTCTGAAGAGGTACGAAGTGGACGGAAGGAAGGTCCTCTTCTACTTTGATGAGGTGAGTTAGCCATACCAGTATATCACCATTGTAATCTGTTTATAGCTGTGGTGTACTGTACTGAGATCAGTTCTAACTGGTTAACGTTTGACCTGTCTCTATGTTTGTCCCACCACACAGATCTCCAGTCAGTGTATGACGTGTGTGGCCTTTCAGGCTGTCAGGCAGTACATAGTGGGCAAGACAGCACCTGTTCCGGTCAAGGTGTATGACTACTACGAACCAGGTGTGCCTCTGATGTAATGAATATGCTCACTTTGCGAGCAGGAAAACCCTCCTCTGTCTTCACAATGATTTAGTATGATTTATCGACAGCCTTCTCTCAGAGGAAATTGGAATTCTCTAGTCTGTGGTTTAACCCTCCCGTTGTCCTAGGGTCAAAATGACCCGCCACTGTGTTGAACCAACTTTATTTAATTTTTATATTTTTGGGATAATTTGTGAGAAGGAGTCAGTGAGACTTTAAAGAAAGTATCACTGCCTCCTTCTCACAAATGATCCAAAAAATATAAAAATTAAATAAAGTTGGTTCAACACAGTGGCGGGTCATTTTGACCCTAGGACAACGGGAGGGTTAAATAATAGATACAGCGTTCTTTTGTGGAGAGAGGTGCATCCACCACTCATACAAAGCTTTGTGTGTGTGTGTGTGTTACTGTCTCTCTCTCCACAGCGTTTGAGGCCACCCGCTTTTACAACGTGAGCGAGAGCAGTCCACTGGCCCGCGAGCTGTGTGACGGCACCACGTGCAACGAGGTGGAGAGCTCAACCAACCATTGGATAGGTAAGAGTTACACCACCGAGTTACAACACTTTACTGTATTTCCATTAATGGTACTACGACATTATATTTGTGTTAGTGCCCATTAAGCCCAGCTAATAGAACAGAGAGAGAGAGAGAGAGAGTGAAAGTGTGACATGTCTCATGGGGCTCCTCTGTAAAACTCCATTTCCTGTCCCTATGCTTTCTAAGAGCGTGTGTGTCGTGCCTAAATTGTTATTGGCACGGGCCGATATTGGAAAGAGAAGAAACAGAATAGCAGGCCCGCACAGGAATGCCCACTGTCCCTGGTTGTCATCGTGCCGAGCCGAGTGTTTTCGTTTCAGAGAGACACACACACACTCTTATTAGCGGGGGCCGATGTTGCTACAACAAATGGCGAAGTTTGCTCCTGTCACCGTGGTGACGAGTGGATGACCCTGTGTGTGTTGGCACTGTGTTTTGCCGGCCTGGCTGAGAGAGAGCCTGAGGGGCTGGGACCCCCGCGCAGCTGGAACCAAGGCCATGCTCAGACCCTGGGGAACCGCTCTCATCAACACACACATCCTCTCACACTCTTTCTTTTTTCTCTCTCTCTGTCTTAACTTTCCTTCCTATGAAAGATATATTCTCTTTTTCCTACTCTTTGCCTGACCCATGGTTGGGATAGTTTTTTGTCCTGTGCACTTTGACTATAGAAAGTAATAGTAATGGTGTATTTTTGTAGGCACTCCACCATGGTTTGTTGGACAAAGCTTATGGGAAAATGAATGGAGGTTTTGTATGGTTTTTGGATAAGCACCGAAAATAAGGTCTGTGGTAAACACAGGCTTAGGAAATCTTACATTTTGGTCTATGATAATCTTCATCAGCTAGCGTCACTTTTTGTGATTTTTGAAGTGTTTATGTAATTTAAAAAAGCACATAAAGCACTAGTGTTAACCTCAGACCTTATCTGGGGCATTTATCCCAAAACCCTATTCTTACCCCATTCATTTTCCCCATAGGGATGGCTGAACGAACCAGAGGTAACTAATTTCCGGTTTTTATGGCGACAAGCTGGCGAGCTCTATCATGATGGTTAAATTTCACAACTAAAGTCACACAATGTTTACACACAATGTTGATAAACATTGTAAGAAAAATGCAAAAGATCCCCAAAGTAAAAAAAAAAAAAAAAAGTATCTTGTGGTCCTCTGTAGCTCAGCTGGTAGAGCACGGCGCTTGAAACGCCAAGGTAGTGGGTTCGATCCCCGGGACCACCCATACACAAAAATGTATGCACGCATGACTGTAAGTCGCTTTGGATAAAAGCGTCTGCTAAATGGCATATTATTATATTATTATTATTATTGTCCTGTGTGTTTCCTCTGACCCAGGCTTTGTCCAGGGGAACCAATGTAACAACGTGTTTGGCTGTCTGGAGGAGGAGCAGTTTGAGCGTTGCACCTGCTACAGGGACTGTGGCTATGACGGGGAGCTGGTGTGTGGCTCAGACAGACATCTCTACCAGAATCAGTGCCAGATGGAGGTCTTCGCCTGCCGCAACGGGACCCGCATAGAACAAGTGCCCATGTCCCAGTGTCCTCAGAGTAAGACAACTCTATCGACTACTCTACCAGGGATTGGCTCCATTCCATTTCAAATGAAGTTCATGAGCTGAAAAATCCTCAATGACAGTAATGGCCAATTAATAAATTCATGAGTTTGATGTCAATTCGTCCTCTGAATGGATTTAATTAAAATCCACCACACCCACTGACTGCTCCTAACACTAGCATGCCAGGCTCTGTACCCCTCCCAGTGGCTCTGCCAGCCAGGCCCACATGTGGCTCTAATTTATCGGTCAGCTGTCACACATTGAAGAGCTAAAACATGATCTAGTTCATAGTCAAACATTACATCCACCGAAAATATGTCTCCAAAATGTTGTGATTATTAGAAACACCCTTTGAGGAATTGAAGAGAGGATGTGCTGGGAAGAGGGTGCAGGGCAGCCCAACATGCACATCATCTATCACACACACACACAAAAGTTGGAGAAGAAAGGGTGGTGTGTGTGTGCGGCTGTGGTAACAGCTGTTCAGGTGCAGGCTGGATGAAGTTTGCGAGGAGAGCTTCCCAGCGCTGCTATATTACAGGGCACCCCAAATGACAGAGTGCTTTTGTCCAGGCCTTTGAAAACCCTGTCACATTCCTTTCCGACGCACAGACCAACAACAAAGGAGCATTCTTGTTGTGGAGCGGATTGGGAAAAGGCACAGACAAAACCTATGTGGGAAAACTAGGCTGCCTGTGCCAAGTGGTTCATACAGTAGATTATCAAAAGGACCGGATACGTGTTCCTATTGTCGTTTGTTTGTGTATGGGTGATTTAGAAATATGCACCCACATTGGAAATACGGGAAAAGATATCACACTTTTACCGTAACCGTACAGTACAATATGTGGTCCGTGTAACATTGGCTTGTTGTCATTGTGTTGTCTTTTTTCACACAGTGGAATCCACCACGGAGGACAGAGAGACTGCAACAGCCGAGGAACCAGAGCAAGCTCCTGTGCCTGTACACAAAGGTAAATACAGTGCCTGGCAAAGCACACACACACACACACACACACACAAAAACTCATACAGACACACACACACCACTCTCTCTTTTCCTCTCTACACCTCCTCCACCCCTATCTCTCATTGGACACCAGCTGTTCCCAGCTGCAGGAGTGAGTGTGTGTGAGGGTTGAGGAGTGTGAAGAGTGTGTGAGTTGTGAGTGCCAGCCAAAGGCAAGGGTTCGGACGTATCACCTCTGAGTGAAGCAGGCGTTGACATGTGCAGACTCATACTTTTGCGAACCCTGCTCTGCTCTGTTCCCGCTCTAAGACACTGTATACATGCCTGACAGAGGCCCAGACCTCTACTGTGCCCACTGTAAATGTCTACCTGTTTTATCCATTGATCTGTATTGTATGAGGGATTGGAGCTTACTCCAGCTCAGACTATACACATGCAACCCTCTGAGAACATTCACATACAGACTGCTACAATAGTTTGCTGTAGCCTACACCCACTGTAAAGTATATGTCCACCAACATGCATCTGCTTTTTCTTGCTTATAAAGTCTAAAGAGTTTGATCAGTGTTTTAGAAGAGCTAGAGGTATAGATGAGAGTCCCTTCCCTCCTGTCCTCCAGGTCTGATCACTCTGTCTGCCTGCAGTGTGCTGGGGGCTGTTGGGACTTGCCCCAGTCTGCAGGAAAGGTGAGGAGAGGGGAAGTAGAGCACTGACTCCTCAGTGGATCACTTCTACAGGCTACTCTCACATTCAGATAAACAGGAGGATAGGCTTTCCTTAGGGGGATCGTTTTTCTTAAAGGTGATATTTGTTGCTCCACCACAGGGTTCACTTAGATGTCAAGCTTAAATAACTTGTTACAGAACTCCTGGTCAGATATATCACTTTTATGTTGGTGTGTAGCAGGAATCGTGGCTGTGATATAGAGTAGGCTCACGTCCGTGCGTGCGTGCGTGTGTGTTTGATGTGGCCTATGCCTGTGCTGACTTGTTCCCAGCCTGCAGCTCACAGTAGCTTTAATGGAGTTCCACAAAGGTCAAAGGTCTCCTCAGTACAAAGACTGATGCTTCACAATGGAAGAGACCTCACCACAGGAATGCCATTAAAACTCTAGTGCGGTACACACGTACAGAAAACATGTATCAAACCAGATTATTACACTCAATGAACATTGTGCAAACTGTAATTCTGAGCTATTATATGTTGTTGACCTGAGCTCCTCTGTGCGTTAGGTTAGGTAGATTGTGATTGATGTGATTTTGTGTGCCAAGAATCTGACCGCATTCTCAACAGATCAAGTGAAGACATTGAGACTTTGGAATCAGTTCCTCTGTGTGGACATGTCCCTTAGTGGTGAAACAGCGTCAGAGCTGAGGGCACGATTAATTCAACAAAATACTCTGTTTAAGAGACTGATTAAAATAAATGTAATGTAGTGTGTGTACTCATTTGAAATGTATGATTTCCAAAAGGAGCAGTGTGCATGCAGTGCTTCACGAGGCTGAACTTTTAAAGGACATAGTGACCCCTACTGGCCACTTTGTACAATTAACTCATTTTTGGTAGATACTCTGTGGAAACATAATGTTATACCCGTTGACTTTTTTGCCAAAGCTAGTGTTCTCTCAAAACTATTTTTTTGCGATTTTTTTTTTTACCATCCCTCCTCCCCTATCTCTGTCCCTCTCTCTTGTGCTGTAGGTGAGGAAGAGCAGGGTTCCATGGCTGAGGTGTCCTACTACTCCTATGAGTATGACCCAGACTCAGAACCCTTCGCTGTGGAGGGGGAGGACCACTTTGAGCTGGCGGCAGGGGAGCAGGGGGGAGAGCAGGAGAGTCCATCAGATAGCCAGCTACCCACACTGGACACAAAGGACACCCATGAGCGATGGTATGGCCCTCTGACCTCCCCGTCTGTCTGCACAACAACACTGAGTTGGAACCGTTAGCACGGTGGTAATGTGGATAGGACTTGAAATTAAGTAAACTGTGACTTTGTAACCTCAAACCTGTTTCAGTCTATTTCCGCTGTAATAACAAAGTGTATTCAGATAACTCTACATCAGTGGCAGTCAGTGCCGTTTAAGATGAGGGAGGACAATTTTACTTCTTATTTCTATTATAGCATATTGGATGACTATCATTCATATTCCATTCACCCAGCTCAATGTAACAGCGATAGGTTTAGGCTACTACATGATACTCACATTTTCCCTATATCCATCATGAGGTTGCTACAACCTAGCCTATGAATGAAAGTTTACAACGTAGCTGCACACAGGTCGAGAGAAAAATTTGAGGTGACAGACAGTGACACATGGACAGACAGTGACACATTCAATACTGCCTTGCACACTCTTGCCTGCATGTAGCTGATCTAGGGTGTAATCATTAAGTTGCAAACAAGTTTCTATTGAACAAATTCAGGTATGTTTATCCCCGTTCCGTTTGCTTCAGAATCAGCGGAATGAATACACCCCTGATCACGCATAAACACAGTTAACTTTCATAGCTGCCACGTTGTATTCCTTCTAGCATCTATGCACTCTCCTCCTCTCACCTTTTCACTTCACTTGTGGACTTTAATGCACAACACATAAGCTGTATGTGACCAGGCGAAAAAACCAATCCAAGCCAAACCATATCATAACCGCTACACAAAGCCTATATCGTTGTCACCATATTTGCTAAAGTCATAGTCAACATAGCGAATAGAACTAACGTGTTAGTAAACCCGCTACAGTCATGCAGTAACGTTAGTGTACAGTCAGTAAGCAGTTTAGCACTTACACTGGCGGGCCCCGGTGGCAATAAATTAGAAAAACCAAAAGCTTACCTTGGAAGAGTTCCAGTGTTGTGTTGGATAGTCATAGCCAGCTAGCTAACATAGCATCCCTCTGTTTCAGCAGGCTGTTTGAGTATGCTAAACTAGCTAGCTGCATTTGCTAGCTAAGTAAGTGAAACTGAACGTTTTTTATTTATTTATTAACTCTCGCTCTTGCTTCTGCTTCATTTTGGAAGAAATTGATTTGTTCAAAACTGTTCAACTATTGTATTTTTCTCTCTGAGTCAACTACTCACCACATTTTATGGACTGCAGTGCTAGCTAGCTGTAGCTTATGCTTTCAGTACTAGATTAATTTTCTGATCCTTTGATTGGGTGGACAACATGTCAGTTCATGCTGCAAGAGCTCTGATAGGTTGGAGGACGTCCTCCGGAACTTGTCATAATTACTGTGTAAATCTATGGAAGGGGGCGAGAACCATGAGCCTCTTAGGTTTTGTATTAAAGTACATTTACCCAGAGGAGGATGGAAGCTAGCTGTCCTCCGGCTACACCATGGTGCTACCCTACAGAGTGCTGTTGAGGCTACTGTAGACCTTCATTGCAAAACAGTGTATTTTAATCATTTATTTGGTGACGTGAATATATTTAGTATAGTTTTATCTAAAAGGATAACTTTTTTAATGTTTTACTATTTTTATGATGGTCCTCCCCATCCTCCTCTGAGGAGCCTCCACTGCATTACATCAAAGATAGCATATCTGTACCTTTCTATCAAATTGCAATGAAGAACATCATCAGAGATCTTATTCAGTGTACTGTTCTCCTCTCCTTCACAGAAACTGCCCCTGACTGCATCACCAGCCAGATCTCCAAATTGTACATTGTTTGTTAATATGTTAGAGTGTGTGGAGACTGGAGAGAGAAGGAAAAGTGGGGACTGCCCAGCCTGAAAGGAAGAGATGGTGGGGTGTGTGTGTGTACGCGCATATGAATGACTTAAGGACTACGTGCGCGCGCGTGTGTGTGTGTGTGTTACTAATCTAGTCCCCCTCCAGCCCTCTGTATTTCTCTCTCTTTTATATCTCCAGTCTCCTATTCACCAGTAGACACCATAGCGTCTTTGATATTCACTGTAGTGCCTTTACATTGTTTTTCTGTAACCTCTAGATTGAATAATCAAGTATTTATGTTTGTAATTGCACATGAGTTAAAACAAATGTTTTGTTGTTTTTTCTATCTGTGGTATTTATTTGTAGCTAGTGCTTTTTTTGTTTTATTTGTTCCAATGCCGCCCCCAATTGCCTTCTTGTCCTGTCACCGTCACCAATGTCTTCATTTAATTCATAAAAAATATGGCAAGATGTGATGCACCTATTTTTATTCTGAGGAAGCCTTAGGTCAAACACTGAGGTGTACAGTGGATATCTTTATGTACTTATTTGATGTGTTAACCTACTAGAGACTGAATTTCTGCAGGCTTAAACTGGAGGATTAAGATAAACTCAGTTCTTCTAAACATATTTACCAATCTACCAATATCTCCACATAAGTCCTATTTGGGTATAGCTGTCACCTTACTGTTGAACAGACAGGGATTTGATTGTACAGTACATAAGCTATTTTGTTTTGTTAAATTTTGATTATTGAAAGCCTAAAACAAGAATAAAGGTTTGGAATTATTGTAAATTTACCACATTTAAACCAATGTAACCCCACATCCATTTTCAATACAGTTGCTTTTGAAAAACAAGAGAATAAACTTTGTATACAATCCATGTCTCTGTTTGCAGTTAACTTTACATGCTACTGTAAGTCTCTCCTCAGGTAGCAGTAATTATATTCCCTATATGTATAGGCCTATATGTTACATAGGAAACGAGTAACAGACCTGGTGGTTAAGGAGTTGTGTTGGTCCATTTATTTTGAAACGTAGTTTAGCCTGAGGAGAATTTCCTGTCATCCTGTCAGCAGTTAGCTGTGTTATTATGAAGCACTGTGGCCCTTCAGAATACCCTCTGCTTTGAAGGCTGTGACTCTGTGACCCCTGGAATGGCTGTGTGCAGCTGGACCAACCCGTGTGTGTTTGCCCCTGTTAAAAACACACTCAGGTTACCTATACAGCAGCCAGGAGAGTGTTGGAACCTGTTAATGTTGGTTAAGGCACTTGTCAATGTTCTCAGTTATAATATACACTACCAGTCAAAAGTTTTAGAACACCTAGTCATTCAAGGGTTTTTCTTTATTTTGACTATTTTCTACATTGTAGAATAATAGTGAAGACATCAAAACTATGAAATAACACATATGGAATCATGTATTAACCAAAAAAGTGTTAAACAAATCAAAATATATTTTATATTTTATATTCTTCAAATAGCCACCCTTTGCCTTGATGACAGCTTTGCACACTCTTGGCATTCTCTCAACCAGCTTCATGAGGTAGTCACCTGAAATGCATTTCAATTAACAGGTGTGCCTTCTTAAAAGTTAATTTGTGGAATTTCTTTCCTTCGTTTGAGCCAATCAGTTGTGCTGTGACAAGGTGGGGGTATACAGAAGATAGCCCTATTTGGTAAAAGACCAAGTCCATATTATGGCAAGAACAGCTCAAATAAGCAAAGACAAACGACAGTCCATCATTACTTTAAGACATGAGTGTCAGTCAATCCGGAAAATGTCAAGAACTTTGAAAGTTTCTTCAAGTACAGTCGCAAAAACCATCAAGTGCTATAATGAAACTGGCTCTCATGAGGACCACCACAGGAATGGAAGACCCAGAGTTACCTCTGCTGCAGAGGATAAGTTCATTCGAGTTACCAGCCTCAGAAATTGCAGCCTAAATAAATGCTTCACAGAGTTCAAGTAACAGACACATCTCAACATCAACTGTTCAGAGGAGACTGCGTGAATCAGGCCTTCATGGTCGAATTGCTGCAAAGAAACCACTACTAAAGGACACCAATAAGAAGAGACTTGCTTGGGCCAAGAAACACGAGCAATGGACATTAGACCGGTGGAAATTTGTCCTTTGGTCTGGAGTCCAAATTGGAGATTTTTGGTTCCAACCACTGTGTCTTTGTGAGACGCGGTGTGGGTGAACGGATGATCTCCGCATGTGTATTTCCCACCGTAAAGCATGGAGGAGGAGGTGTTATGGTGTGGGGGTGCTTTGCTGGTGACACTGTCTGTGATTTATTTAGAATTCAAGGCACACTTAACCAGCATGGCCACCACAACATTCTACAGCAATACGCCATCCCATCTGGTTTGGCCTAGTGGGATTATAATTTCTTTTTCAACAGGACAATGACCCAACACACCTCCAGGCTGTGTAAAGGGCTATTTGACCAAGAAGGAGAGTGAGGGAGTGCTGCATCAAATGACCTGGCCTCCACAATCCCCCGACCTCAACCCAATTGAGATGGTTTGGGATGAGTCGGACCGCAGAGTGAAGGAAAAGCAGCCAACAAGTGCTCAGCATATGTGGGAACTCATTCAAGACTGTTGGAGAAGCATTCCAGGTGAAGCTGGTTGAGAGAATGCCAAGAGTGTGCAAAGCTGTCATCAAAGCAAAGGGTGGCTATTTGAAGAATCTCAGATATAAAATATATTTTGATTTGTTTAATAATTTTTTGGTTACTACATGATTCCATATGTGTTATTTCATAGTTTTGATGTCTTCACTATTATTCTACAATGTAGAAAATAGTAAAAAATAAATAAAACCCCTTGAATGAATAGGTGTTCTAAAACTTTTGACCGGTAGTGTAGCTTCTGACAACTATAGTGTGTGCTTCTGCTGCTGTTTAAAATGAATACCTGGTCCAAATGGCACATGGATATGTCGTTTCGATGTAGAGGTTATTGAATGGGCAATGAGCCCACTGTATGGTCAAACTACAGGAATGATGGTGTAAAACTCTGTCAGATAACACGTTACATATGTTATAATATGCATTGTCTTTCTCAAATTCAGTGTATCATATACTGTGCTATGTCAAGAAGGATAATACAGTGCATTCGGAAAGTATTCAGACCCCTTGACCTTTTCCACATTTTGTTACATTACAGCCTTATTCTAAAATTGATTAAATTATTTTTTTCCCCTCATCAATCGACACACATTACCCCATAATGACAAAGCGAAAACAGGTTTTTAGAAACTTTTGCAAGTTTATCAAATATCACATTTACATAAGTATTCAGACCCTTTACTCAGTACTTTGTTGAAGCACCTTAGGCAGCAATTACAGCCTCGAGACTTCTTGGGTATGCCGCTACAAGCTTAAGTTGGCACACCTCTATTTGGGGAGTTTCAGGTTGGATGGGGAGCGTCGCTGCACAGCTATTTTCAGGTCTCTCCAGAGATGTTTGATCGGGTTCAAGTCCAGGCTCTGGCTGGGCCACTCAAGGACATTCAGAGACTTGTCCTGAAGCCATTCCTGCATTGTCTTGGCTTTGTGCTTAGGGTCGTTGTCCTGTTGGAAGGTCAACCTTCACCTCAGTCTGAGGTCCTAAGCGCTCTGGAGCAGGTTTTCATCAAGGATCTCGCTGTACTTTGCTCCATTCATCTTTCCCTCGATCCTGACTAGTCTCCCAGTCCCTGCCGCTGAAAAACATCCCCAAAGCATGTTGCTGCCACAACCATGCTTCACCGTAGGGATGGTGCCAGGTTTCCTCCAGATGTGACGCTTGGCATTCAGGCCAAAGAGTTCAATCTTGGTTTCATCAGACCAGAGAATCTTGTTTCTCATGGTCTGAGAGTCTTTAGGTGCCTTTTGGCAAACTCCAAGCGGGCTGTCGTGTGCCTTTTAATGAGGAGTGGCTTTTGTCTGGTCACTCTACCATAAAGGCCTGATTGGTGGAATGCTGCAGAGATGGTTGTCTTTCTGGAAGGTTCTCCCATCTCCACAGAGGAACTCTGTTTCTAAGCACCAGCGGAGCTGGGCTGCAATTTAACTGGCTGAGATGATGGACTAGTTGGAAACTCAGCATTGGAGTGAGATCAAACATTTGGTCATTTTAAAGGCCCTTCTAAACAAGATGCTCTATTTTTTATGGTCTTTATGGGCCTTTGATGTAGGGCTGGGCGATTTATTGTCTTTTAAGGTATGGATTTTACAATACTGTCTATAAAGGTAATTTAATACAGTGCTAAATAAATAAAACATCCTACAAATTGGACTACTTCCCTGTCAGTTTTGTCCTAGTTTTGTTGAGTATAATCAGTATGGAGAAAGCCCATAAAAAAACACTTAGAATTCATTTGTTGCCATTCTCGGGTCATGCATTACTCATAAAACATATTAAGAACTTTTGACTTAGAAACATAAAATACCGCCATACTGTAAAAAATAAGAACAATATTGTGATATGATATTTTGGCCATATCGCCCAGCCCTATTTGATGGTAGTGGTTCTTATTTTGGAGTGATTAACTGCACAGACTGTTTTAAGGTATGAATAGGCGAGCTCCATACTGTATTTAACTCAGGACTTGGGAGATGATGGATGGATAAAGGAGAGCCATGATGTTGCTGAGTGGAGAAACTGACATCCATCTGACACAGAAGATCACCTCTACCACCTCACTAAGGAGAGAGGAAGACCTGCCGGCTATGAAGCATCTCTAGAGCCCGTTTGTGTCCACATCTACAGTAGTATGCTTCCTATACCTGTGTTTTTGTGCATGCTGTATTGTCAAATTCCATCTTATTATTGATTGAATAGAGCAGTTTATGTAATGATTTGGAGGATTGTTTTGTAGGACTTCTTGTAGGACCATAAATCTCTTTGACCATGGTGGAGAGGTGAAAAAGCGCCCCATCATTGCCGGCAGAGAGAAGGATGAGCTTCCTGAATGGAACAAACGGTACTGTACTTATTCAATACAGATCACTCATGTATTCTGAGATCAGTTAATATAACATGTAAATGTTACGTTTAGCTAGTTAGTAATTTAATGTATTTCATCATGTCAGAGAGGGAACATTGACTGGAGGAGTTGATCATTTCTTAGAGCTTGGACTTGCCAGAACTCGCTTTATTCAGTGTTGATGTTCTCAGCTCCCAGTAGCTCTGCTTGCGCAGTGTGCACAGGCACATGAACATCTGTATGCTGACTTAATGTAATTCCCCAGGTTGTATCTTGGTTCGTTCCACAAAATGACTGCCTTTAAGTAGAAATTGTGCACCAATGTTGACTTTTAAAAGCCTGTTATATTGAATGAAGTGCCCTTTAATATAGACCACATGAAGTCAGATTTATTTATTTTTTAAATCTGATTTTGTATATGAATAAATACTTTTTGACATCCCTCTGTGATTTCTAGGTAGATTTTAACCCACTTAAACCCAAGATTTCTCAAAATGTTCACCATCATTGTAAAGCCCTAGTTATATTGCTGCTTTGAGAAAGTCATTTCTGAAGATTATTATTTATTTCATGTGATTAGTGATTCACATATGTCTGTCCCTCATTTTAAGGTCAACCATGTTATGTGAACTGAACTGTCGTTTTAATATGTCACAAGGGGAATTATGGCTGATTTAAGATGAAATCGTCAACTCTGTTACTTTATTTGGCACTTAATATAGTCATTATTTTTTATTTAATAACCTCTTGAGATGGGAGACCTTGTTTTTATAAAGATGAACATGTGCTCTTTATGACAGAATTTGATGAAATCTATATATATATATTTTACCAAGTTACACTTCTCAAAAGGCACAGAATTGGTGGAACAACTCTCTTAGTGTACTCCCTGCAGCACTATGTCTCTGGCTGTGAAAGTCAGCTGTTTGGATGACCTAGCATGTCTAATTTGCACCAGCCAGATGAAAATATGTGGTTTATATCTTCAGGCACATCTTTGTGTTAACCTTTGCAGCTTATTCGTCACTACACCATATAACGTGTAAAGTAGACTAAATCCTTTTTGTTCACATTTAAACTGGTGTATGTGCGCAGACACAGGTCCTCAACCCATTGTGTAAAATATCTATCCCACAGGGCCAGGACCTGGGCATTATGCTCTGCCACTGACCATGACTTCACCAAGTCAACCAGCCCTGCTGACTCCTCCCGCGGCAGGATAAGCAACAACTGTGAGTACTACAGAGGTCACGAAAGAGACCCCAAGCTTTAAACATGACATGCTACTCTATTCAAGAGTCCTAAATGGTCTATGGAAAACTACCCACTAGTAGTTGCTCACGAAAGGAAATATTGAATGTTGTAATGCCAATGTAAATCCACTAGGGGGATAACACAAATACCTGTCAAGCTGTGAACCAGGTTACAACAGTCCAGTATACCACTTATCAGCCAAATGTGACACTGTCCTTAGGATAGTGGCAAACTTACTACAGTATTGTATGTCAGTTAGTTATTCAATTGTTTCTCTTGTTTGTTTGTGTAGTGTACGGTGTTGACGCCAGTCCTAGGCCTCAGTATTACATTGATGTAAAAATCTCCTGTTTCGGCAACACTGCATTCTCCACACTGGGCAAAGAGAGAGGATAATCAAGTAAGTTCCCACCAAACTTCAGGTAAATACACTTTTAATTCAGAGCTGTTTCATGTTTTAATGTGCCTATAACGTTGTAATACATAAAGTATGACCATGTATTTATTTGACGAAGGCCAAAAGCGTATTACTAGAGGACTGCAGTCTTAGGGCCCTATTTATTAGATATGTGAAAATGTTGATTTTCCTGATAGAGATGTTAATTACATAAGGACCTTGTTGAGTGTGCCAGTTAAGTTTATAAGCCACTTACAGCAGTAGGGCAACAAGATACAGCTGGATGTGACAGCTCAAGCCTTGCCTTCTGCTGTTAGCTGTTGCAACTAAATTTCATGAACACACTAAACAAATATGCATGCTCTAAATTGACAATTAACCTATTGCATTCCACTTATGAATCTTGCTTGTTTTTATAAAGCCAAAGCTAAATGCAGCCGTTTCCACCAATGGGGCTTTTACAGACTCCTGGACTTAGGGGCATACAGCCCTGAGAATGCTCCTCCATGCAACAACCAGCGCAGACCCCCATCCTATACCATGTGCTCCTGCACTCGCTACCGTAGCATTGACTCAGCGTCTAACAAGTACTGTCTTCCTGCTCTAATGTCCCCCCCGGACCCCACCAAGCCAGCCAGTGCCAGCTACACCATCTCAGGGCACTGCAAGTCAGGGGGTCCCTCAGAGGACCTGTCCAAGACGCCAGGCTCTGGTAGATACAACAGTACGGATCAGTGTCTACTTCCCCAACAATGCCACTCTGAAGCCTGGCCCTGGAACTCGTAACCCTGAGAAGGTGATTGTCCACAAGCCCCGGGCCCCAGCATTCTCTCTGGGCATCAGACACAGAGTTTGTCACCCCACTGGTGGTCAATGTAGCTGACTACACAACCATGTTCCTCTGTCATATGGGACTAGGCCTAACCAAGGTTGGATTCATCTGCAAAACAAACAACTTGATGAGGTGACAATCGAGAACCATTTCTACTGCCATGCTGGCTTATTATAAAATATGAAATGAAGGACATTTAGATACAGAAAAAGAACATATACAAACTTCCACACAGAAAGTAAAGAAATATATTGTATTTACGTACTGTCCAGCAACAGTGCTATTTAGAATGAACAGAAATGTGACTCTAGTCAGTCAAAATGTATACTGTCTGATAAGAACATATATATATATATATATATATATACACACATAGAGGAAAGCAGACAAAAGAAAAACACAAAGTTATTTTCTGATTAGAATATTCAACGTTCAAGAAAAAAAAAAAAAAAACTACATCTGACCACTATGCTCATTAATACAACATATATTGACAAGTAAACATCAATAAAAGTGTAGCAACTGTTATTCAAGCTCGGTAAAGTCTCATGAGAGAAATTCCATCTTCATATTGTTGCCACTTATCAATCAAAGCAGAACTGCTCACCATCTGTTAGTGGGGCTGAGCGTTCTGCCTTCATCTCTCCTTGGGCTACCTCTATCATACCTCCAATATTTTGAGGAGGGAGTTTAAAAAAAACTGAAAATAAAGGGTCTATTCTATACACCAAAACACATGGAGAGATGTACATCTTGTTTAGTCAACCAAGACCACACAATTCAACTGAGGCGGTTTTCGGGGATGTGGACGATGATTTCCACTCAATCCTTTGGAAGAGGTCTTCGGAAAAGCAATATATGCGGCTCTAGAAGTAAAACAAGTAAAGTTATTCAGTACTCACTTCAAGCTACCAGAGATAGATATTATTTTCAAACATGCAGATGGCATAACAATGGCTTTACGTCTGTAGGGATGTGATCACGACAACATAAGATTTGGGAAAAAAGGTAAATGGTTTGGGTCAGAGTCATGTAATAGGCAATACAATATGGCTTGTACATTTCAATTATGTATTAAAGAGGATGTCAGAAAAGCAGGAATTCCTGATTAATCTTTTCATAAACAGTCATGAGAATACTTGTGACATAAGTAAACAAATTACATAAGTGATGTTGCTCGTATGAAACATCAGTCCTCACTATATATTAAAAGTCAGGCTGGTTAGGTCAATAGCTCACCTGGCTTGTGGATCATGTAGTGGATCCAGCCCTGGCTCTGCTGCACCCCCAGACCCCTCCATTCATCTTCTGTCATCAAATGAGAGGTGGGCACCAGCTTGGATAACTGTTTCGGGAGCATAACATGCCTGTGTAGGAAAGGGACATTGAATTCAACCAATTCATTTAGTTACTAGCCAAATAGAAAGGTCTCTGTGATTTACATGTAACTTTAGTACCAGTGCAGTCGGCGAAATAACTTTGGACATGTGGCAACACCAGCTGATATTATCAGTTAACGTTAACCAAGTCACCTAATAGTTACTCACTGCAAAATAAACACATGAATCCAGACTTCAATTAAAAGCCAACAAATATAACTTTGATAGCAGTAACTAAATATCATTATTACTATTTTAGCCAAATAAAGTATTATGGCTGTTTCTCGGCTAAAGCTAGCTATCAAGTTGGGTTGGCTAAAGCCAATGTTGGCTAGCTAGCTAATCAACCTGGGGGCTGTGTGCACTTGCATGCGCTAGCATATCAAGCAAGCATGTTAGCACCTACGCTAGCTACAACTTCAACCTACCTGTACTCGAATGCTTCATCTGTGTACTTGTCAGAGTAGTAAATTTCTTTCTTCGACATGTTTAATCAAACATAAATATATTACACAATCTTCTGGATTCGTTTTCGTATGTTCAGAGAGCTGTCAGTGTTAGTAAGTTTAGCTGGCTAGCTTGGAATGGGCGCAAGTTGTCATCTGCAGTGTATGGGCAAATTTTGAACTCAAACCGTCCCTCTCTTGGCCCGGATTGGCGAAGGCACGCGCGGACCAAAACGACATGCGCGGCGCCCCGCCCCCATCTTCTGACGTTGACAGCTGTAAATGGTGAGTTGTTTCTAAAAATGTTTCCTGTGAAATAATGATTTTTACTTTGGTTTGCTAATCGAAAGAATGAAACACTAGCCAAATAGTTATAGAAATAGAGTCAATGTCCATTTATCGTGCTTCTTTAGTCCTACAATCATGAATATTCAATCATAAATGTTGCTTAAGTAATCCTACTGTTTCCACTGATAACATCAGTCACACACTTTCATAAAGTGATAAGCACTTATTTTTGTGGTGTACATAATGTAGCTAGCTATCAGTGTTTGTTTTGAGTTGCTAAATAACATTGTTAAATGTCAAAGGAACCACATTGTTCCTGTGACCTTTGAGAGTTAGAGAGAGAGAGAGAGTGCTGGATAATCAAATACTGTAATTTTACTTGAATTTCATCACCTATACAATAATACTAATTTTAGATAGTATACATGCACATACACAGATATTGTCTTCTTTATAACTGCAATGTAGGAACTGTTTTAAACCTGGGCTGTTTTAAAAGTGGAGGATTTGTGACTTTAGAAACCCAGTTGTTTCCACAGGCCCCATGTGTGATAGTTTCCCTTGTGAATTAGTTACATAGAAACAGCCTGAGTTCCCAGAGAGTGTGTTTGCAAGTTGTAATCACATCTCTGGGCTCTGTAATGGTTGCTAATGAGACATAGTGCATGCACAGCCTGACTTATTCCATTGCTGATTGCAGTGGTACAGCACGCTGATATCCAGGTGAACATTAGCTCCTTGTATTGCAGTGCAAACAAATTAGTTGCATTGCCAAACACACTGTAAGTGTTACAGATACAGATGTATTCAATTTGATCAGAAAAGGTTGTTCACTGTGTCTGCGGTGTGTATTAGAAGTCTACATTCACTTTTTTATTTAGATGTGTTATAAAGAAGCCTGTCTGGTCTGAAATGCTGCTGACTTTTTTGATAGCTTTATATTCTTCTGGTCATATATTGTGGAGCCGGTTTTCACTATCCTCCCACTTATCATAGAAGTGGTAGACCTAGTTAGTAGTATCGTCTGATGCTACTCTCCCTATTAGTCATCAGTCACATCCTACATATTGATGACATCTGGTTTGTCAGTAACGTCTCAATTCTCTTATGCCACAAACAAGCAAGTGATGTGATTGGTTGTCAAGGAGTTGGCATGTGTGTATGTGTTTTTGTGTGTGACTTGTGTTAACTGTGGCTTGTTGCCATTGCTGGAGCGAGTTTGTTCATTCGGTCTATGACTTGCAGAAGGGTCTTCTGCTCATAAAACCAGTATGCTCTCTCACATACTCTGAACTTCCTTTATTGCTTTTGATTTTGAGTTTTAGGTTTCTGGGTTATTGTTCAAGTCAAGGCATCTTCACTCTGCTCTCCAAATTTCTGAGATATAGGTGAGTCTATTGCTGCCTCTCAGAATTCCTATGTTTACTGCATGTATTTGTTTGCTATTTTATCTCTGAGTGTACATACTCTTTAAATCTAGTCCATTTGTAATTTTTGCCTTGCACAAGCAATTCTATGATGCGCTAAGCCTTTTCAACTTCCACCTCCGCAAATGCTGACCTTTGCAAATGAACCAAGCCGTTTATTGACATTTGTATGTGACCTTTTGAGTTGTAATCAAATGCTCCCTGTGTTGCTTTTTCAATTAGTATCATATTTGAACTATTTTGAACTATGTCTCCATGTCATGAGCAGTAACAAGACTATGCCCTCTGAGGAACTACTGCGGACTAAGGTGATATATTGTGGAGGAAAACAACATTTGTGTCTTTCATCTTAAAGTCTGGGTTGTTGGAGGAAGTCACCAGGTTGATTTGATGGCTTTATCCAATTTAAACTAAAATTAACTTGTTTTTACAGCGTATTACAGTATGAGAAGCTAGCCATGGAGTTCTGCCTTGGAGGAGTGGGTGTCATGCTTTAGTTGGTTGATTACCCTCTACTTAGATAATGGGTGATTCAGTTAATTATTTGGTCATCCATGTTAACATGCTCTCCTATCACGATTGGATACAAAACCTTAAAGCGTTAGCTGTTGTTTGTGTACGGTAGTGTAGGTCACTGTGGAATAATTGCATGAATACATATCTAACTAGGGCCATGCACAGTGTGTTGTGAGTCTGTTGGCCATTATAATTATTCTTGAAAAAGCCTGGTAATTCAAATTTTTGACAGTTTAGATTAGGCCAACTGGCTTTCTAATTACAGTGCATTCAGAAAATATTCACACCCCTTGAATTTTTCCACATTTTGTTGTGCTACAGCCTGAATTTAAAGGTGATTAAATGTTGATTTTTTTTGTTACGGGCCTACACACAATACCCCATAATGTCAAAGTGGAAATATGTTTTTTCAAAATGGTTACAAATCAATTAAAAATGAAAAGCTAAAATGTCTTGAGTCAATAAGTATTCAACCCCTTTGTTATGACATGCCTAAATAAGTTCAGGAGTAAAAATGTGCCTAACAAGTCACATAATAAGTTGCATGGACTCACTCTGTCTGCAATAATAGTGTTTAACATTATTTTTGAATTACTACCTCATCTCTGTACCCCCCGCACACATACAATTATCTGTAAAGTCCCTTAATCAAGCAGTGCATTTCAAACAGATTCAACCACAAAGACCAGGGATGTTTTCCAATGCCTCGCAAAGGTCACCTATTGGTAGATGGGTAAAAATAAAATAAGCAGACATTGAATATCCCTTTGAGCATGATTAAGTTATTAATTACACTTTGGATGGTGTATCAATACACCCAGTCACTACAAAGATACAGGCATCCTTTCAAACTCAGTTGCCGGAGAGGAAGGAAACCATGAGGCCAATGGTGACTTTAAAACAGTTACAGAGTTTAATGGCTGTTATGGAGAAAAGTGAGCATGGATCAACAACATTGTAGTTACTCCACAATACTAACCTAATTGACAGAGTGAAAAGAAGGAAGCCTGTACAGAATAAAAAAAATATTCCAAAACATGCATCCTGTTTGCAACAAGACACTAAAGTAATATTTAAAAAAATGTGGCAAAGCAATTCACTTTTTGTCCTGAATACAAAATGTTATGTTTGGGGCAAATCCAATACAACACATTACTGAGTACCACTCTTCATATTTTCAAGCATAGTGGTGGCTGCATCATGTTATGGGTATGCTTGTAATTGTTAAGGCCTGGGGAGTTTTACAGGATAAAAAAAAGAAACGGAATGGAGCTAAGCACAGGCAAAATCCTAGAGGAAAACCTGGTTTAGTCTGCTTTCCACCAGACACTGGGAGATGAATTCACCTTTCAGCAGGACAATAACCTAAAACACAACGCCAAACCTACACTGGAGTTGCTTACCAAGAAGTGGCTGAGTTACAGTTTTAAATTAATTCTACTTGAAAATCTATTGCAAGCCTTGAAAATTGTTGTCTAGCAATGATCAACAACAAATTTGACAGAGCTTGATTAATTGTTTTAATAATGGGCAAATGTTGCACAATCCAGGTGTGGAAAGCTCTTAGAGACTTATCTAGAAAGACTCACAGCTGTGAATGAGATATTTCTGTATTTCATTTTCAATAAATGTGCAAACATTTCTTTGTCATTATGGGGTATTGTGTGTAGATGGGTAAGAAAAAACAAATATTTAATGCATTTTGACTTCAGGCTGTAACACAACAAAATGTGGAAAAGGTCAAGGGGTATGAATACTTTCTGAAGGCACTGTATCACTTGAGCTGAGTAGTGCAGTGTTCCAGAGTAGAATGGTTTCAGATTTAAATGATTATATTTCACTCTATTAATATTCTAAGTCCACTTCCTGTGTGTCTGATAATATGACCTTGGGTTTGATTATCTGCTGCGTGACAAAAAAAAATCCCAGAAAGGTGAGCAGAACAAATCCCTGCTTAACCCACTTTGTTGTGGCTTTCTGAGATGACTCTTCCCCTTCTATGGTATGCATTTCACTCTACTTTTGGATTATAATTTGATTTTAAGGCTTGTGTGAATGTCCTGCTTAATATAATGTTTGTGTCATCATCGCAAATCAACTGCATTATACAGTATATTATACATACAACAGTTCAACTTCAACCACTAAAACGGCTCTTTGGCTAGCTTTTGCTACAGCCTACAGTGCCTTGCAAAAGTATTCATCCCCCTTGTCGTTTTTCCTATTTTGTTGCATTACAACCTGTAATTAAATGGATTTCTATTTGGATTTCATGTAATGGACATACACAAAATAGTCCAAATTGGTGAAGTAAAATTTAAAAAATAACTTACTTCAAAAAATTCTAAAAAATTAATAACGGAAAAGTGGTGCGTGCATATTTATTCACCCCCTTTGCTATGAAGCCCCTAAATAAGATCTGGTGCAATCAATTACCTTCAGAAGTCACATAATTAGTTAAATAAAGTCCACCTGTGTGCAATCTGTCACATGATCTGTCACATGATCTCAGTATATATACACCTGTTCTGAAAGGCCCAAGAGTCTGCAACACCACTAAGCAAGGGGCACCACCAAGCAAGTGGCACCATGAAGACCAAGGAGCTCTCCAAACAGGTCAGTGACAAAGTTGTGGAGAAGTACAGATCAGGGTTATAAAAAAATATCCTAAACTTTTAACATCCCATGGAGCACCATTAAATCCATTATTAAAAAATGGAAAGAATATGGCACCACAACAAACCTGCCAAGAGAGGGCCGCCTACCAAAACTCACGGACCAGGCAAGGAGGGCATTAATCAGAGAGGCAACAAAGAGACCAAAGATAACCCTGAATGAGCTGCAAAGCTCCACAGCGGAGTATATGTCCATAGGACCACTTTAAGCCGTACACTCCACAGAGCTGGGTTTTACGGAAGAGTGGCCAGAAAAAAGGGTGAATAGTTATGCACGCTCAAGTTTTCTGTTTTTTTTTTTGTCTTATTTCTTGTTTGTTTCACCCCCAAAAATATTTTGCATCTTCAAAGTGGTAGGCATGTTGTGTAAATCAAATGATACAAACTCCCCAAAAATCAATTTTAATTCCAGGTTGTAAGGCAACAAAATAGGAAAAATGCCAAGGGTGGTGAATGCTTTCGCAAGCCACTGTATATCAATGAGAGTTAGCATTCTAGCTAACAACTGCTGCATTCAAAGTAGTTATTTTGCAAAGATCACAACCAAATATAATCTTAGCGACTGTTTAAGCAAGAATCAAAACATAATTGTAGCATATTATGAGAACCCCCAAAAGTTATTTTGTTTAGAAGTAATAAAAACGTAAATCTAAGCTATGTTGAATGGGCACGGATGGCGATGGCTTTCTTACTGCCGCCAAGAGTCACGCGCGTCTGTGATGAGGTCAGTGTGTCGTGTATTGGAAAAGGGTCTATATAGTCAATATGAATTGTTTTCATATTCTATAACTAAATTAAATTGATCAAATTTTACATATGCTAGTTAGAAAATACGTTATTTTCAGCTACTGTATTGTTGACAGGTGTACATTCATTATTGCTTTTTCCTTATTATTGACTAAGGTGCTGTGCCAAACCATTTGCAAAATTATTATTGCCTTCAGTAGTTATGGATGAAGTACAAACCTTTTTATTCTACACTACCGGTAGTGTATGTACTGTAGGTGGGTGGGGGGTAAACACCTACAAACAGAACACACAACGAAGGAGAGTACTTCCTGTTATTTGTTGCCTGTGACAGAGGATGCAGTTTGAACGCGATACTGGGGACATTGACGTCAACACCAAAGGGAAATTGCGTTATCTAATGTCACAGCTCCCCGTATTGCACAATACTAAGGAATGAGTTTCCCTTGAAGTGTGACTCTCACCTCAATCAAAACAAGAAAAGATAGTCAAAGAGTTTATGTTCCTCAGTCAAGTCCAGGCTCTCAGTCATCATCATCCCACTATGGAACCAGAAGTGTCAAGAGCAGAGAGATAGGACATTTCAGATATAATGGGCTTTTCTCAAATGTTTTACATCTCTACAACCACTGATAATTCATTGCATTTTGTCAAAGTCACAGCTGCTTTGTCGTAATTCACTGGCAGCACAATTCAGTCCCATAAATGTGAAATATTGATGTTAATGTATAGTACCTAAAATATTATGTGTATTGACTCTCTTCACTAAATCATTAATTGATGATGTAATGTAAATGTTAAAAATGGCCGCAGGCATGCATGCTTTGCTTTTGCAGCAATTGCCTACGGTATGTCTTATGGTGGGAAAAAGCGCTGTATTTCTGTCATTGCCACATGCGGGGACAATATAATGTGTAAATAGTGTTTGTGCTCTGCATGTAGATGCTGACTGTGTGAACGACTGAACGTGCGTGTGTGTGCATGCGTGTGTGTGTATGCGTGTGTGTGCGCTAGGAGGGAGGCTCAGGCAGATGTGTGTTAGCTAATGCTGTCTGAGAGCAGCTGGGCAGGGCGAATAGACGAGCAATAACACAATGACATCACCCAGAGTGTGTGTGTGTGAGAGAGAGAGAGAGAGAGAGAGAGAGAGAGAGAGAGGGAGAGAGAGAAGGCTGAAGCAGGCCAGCTCAGATGCAGAGAGGCTGGAGAGTGAATTGAGCCTGTGGGAGAGGACCATACAGCACTCACACAACAGGGGATACAGGATATAGATTTCTTCCCTCTCTACCATTGCACCTCTCCCCCTCCCCCTTTCCCCTTCCCCTCATCCTCTGTCAGCCCCTCTCAGCCTCTGCTTCAGGCTGCTCCTCCGGGCATGCTACTTAAGCCAAAGTATGGCCGCTTTCGCAACGACTCTGTGACCTCCTCCGACGACCTGATGCAGAGCTTAGCCATGAGCGGCAAAGTGGTGGCCACCCCGGTGGTCCTCTCCTCCGCCCCCAGCCTGCCACTGCCCTCCCTGCCTCCTCTGGAGTCCATCCCCCGGTCCTCTTCCGCAGCCCCTGCTCTGGCCGACTCCCCCTGCCTGGACGGGGAGCAGGACGCCACCACCACTTTCTGCATGCTCATCCCCAGGATGCCTCAGTGGAAGTTCTCCAACTCGCTGCTCAGCAGGAGCCCCTCCAACTCCAGCTCCAGCTCCACCAAGGACTCGGGCAAGGCTGCAGCCCCCTCATCACAGGGCTCGCACGGCCCCAGTGGCGCTTCTGCCCCCAATGGTCCCGTGGCCAGTCTGGCCGCTGTCTTTAACTCCTGTGACCCTGTGTGTGTCAACTCCTGTTCCCTACAGGCCATCAGCAGGCAGAGATCTGCAGCGGGCTCAGCCAGTCCAGGTGGCCACGGCACAGGGGCTGCAGAGGGCACAGGGAGCCCCGGGGGCCACAGCGGATCCAGGACGGGGATGAACCGCAGGACAAGGGTGGAGGGCATGTGGCTGGGAGGGGAGGACTTCAACCAGAAGGGCAGCTTCATCCACAAGCCCTCCCAGGGCTGGCTGCACCCAGACAAGAAGATCACAGGCTCTGGGGCTTCCTACATAGTCAGGGTGAGTCACCATGCATGCAGCCCTTCTACAGCTTTTTGCATTACCCAAGTGTTGTTATCGTTCAGCATACATTTGAGCATTTCTGCATTGCATTTTTTAAGGGTAATCTTCCATGCAGTTAAATACTGTATCCGTCAGGGATAATTTGACAGCCTGTTGATGGTTTCCACCCAGAGTCCATGTTATGTTGTTCACAAACAAACCTGTAGAATAGTGAATCATTGAAAACCCCTCTGTAAAGCTTAAATAAGACAAAACTGTCAGAAGATATCCTGTTTGCAATTAACATTTGGGACGTCTCATTCCTTAGGAATAATATCAATGTTAAGATTATTAACCACCCTGCGGGTGTCTCTTGGATACAATGGGACATTAGAATGTCAGGCAGTGTGTTATGCACCCAATGTGTCGAGGCTGAGGAGGAATACATGATTTAATCCAGATAGATGGCTCTCTCTGCTTTGTGTGATGTGGTGTGGTGGGGAGACTGCGTCAGCCTACAGGCTTCAGGCTTTAGGGTGGGTGGTAGGGAGGGAGGAAATTAACAGAATGGAATCGTAAACAGAACACATATTGCATGTGGTGAATCAGAGATACGTGGATGTGTGTGTGTGCGAGTGTGTGTGTACGAGTGTGTGTGTGTGTGTGAGTGAGTGAGTGAGTGGCATGTTTCATGATCTTAGTCTGATTGTTTACGCATAAGTGAAAGATTGGATGTTATATAATTTTGGACAGACATACATACAATACATACAGTCTTAATCAGTGACAATGGTAATTACCTTGTTACAAATCCTGATGGTAGTGGATATGTTAGGTGTTATCACACATTTGGTCAAATTACACTTACAAATAGAAGTATATCTGAGAAATATAGAAAACAAATGATAATATTGTCCAGTGAAATAGGTCATTTAAAAAACCAATGTGTCTTGCAGTGAGTAAGATATAATTTCCAGTGTCTAAGCTGGTGATTTTGGCTCACAATGGGTTACATCTGAGGCAGACTGTTTGACGTCAATGTCAATGATCTCCCCTCAGCAATCCCCTCTGCCCTCCGCTCTTCCCATCCCCCCAGCCTCAACAAAACGACATGGCTCTTTATTAGCCCAGTCTAGGCCCAAGCACGCTTTCTAATTACATTACACAGGCACCATTCATCCCTATATTCCATTACATTTAATCACAGTTGTTTGCATCACACGTGGTGGGGAAGGACTAGGGTGACATTGCAGGGTCTACGAGTCCATCTGCATTAACACTGAGGAGTACTAGTAGCAGACAGCATAGAGAGAACACTCAGCCAGGGGCTTCCCTCAGCACTAATCGTGCTTTCCTCACATTAACACCTCTGACTCCGCCAAAATTATATGACATCCATAGTCCACAGCTAAACATGCTACACTGAGAGGAAACACCAGAGAGCATTTTAGGAAGTATTTCATTACGGTTGTGCCCTGCACCAGTTTTCATTAGCAGTTTGCTGTAGCCTAATCCATTATAATAATATTTAAATGGCCCCTGCAGCAAGCCAGGCAGATAAGATGTGCGTAGATAAGGGACTACATGTCTTTTCATCCTCTCTATATAATGTGGTGTGCAGGGAGGAGCACCAGTGAATCTATTACTGTCTGAATGACAGCAGATTTATGCTGCTCTCTGCTTTTCTCTCTGTCATCATGACATACACTACATGGCCAAAAGAGTGTGGACACCCCTTCAAATTAGTGGATTTGTCTATTTCAGCCACACCCGTTGATGACAGGTGTATAAAATCGAGCACACAGCCATGCAATCTCCATAGACAAACATTGGCAGTAGAATGGCCCGTACTGAAGAGCTCAGTGACTTTCAACATGGCACCGTCAAAGGATGCCACCTTTCCAACAAGTCAGTTCGTCAAATTTCTGGCCTGCTAGAGCTGCCCCAGTCAACTGTAAGTGCTGTTTTTGTGAAGTGGAAACGTCTAGGAGCAACAACGGCTCAGCCGCGAAGTGGTAGGCCACACAAGCTCACAGAACGGGACCGCCGAGTGCTGAAGCACGTAGCACGTAAAAATCGTCTGTCCTTGGTTGCAACACTCACTACCGAGTTCCAAACTGCCTCTGGAAGCAACGTCAGCACAATAACTGTTTGTCGGAGCTTCATGAAATGGGTTTCCATGGCCGAGCAGCCGCACACAAGCCTAAGATCACTTTGCGCAATGTCAAGCGTCGGCTGGAGTGGTGTAAAGATCGCTGCCATTGGACTCTGGAGCAGTGTAAGCGCGTTCTCTGGAGTGATGAATCACGCTTCACCATCTGGCAGTCCGGCGGACTAATCTGGGTTTGGCGGATGCCAGGAGAACGCTACCTGCCCGAATGCATAGTGGCAACTATAAGGTTTGTTGGAGGAGGAATAATGGTCTGGGGCTGTTTTTCATGGTTCGGGCTAGGCCCCTTAGTTCCAGTGAAGGGAAATATTAACTCTACAGCATATAATGACATTCTAGACGGTTCTGTGCTTCCAACTTTGTGGCAACTGTTTGAGGAAGGCCCTTTCCTGTTTCAGCATGACAATGCCCCCATACAGAAATGGTTTGTCGAGATCGGTGTGGAAGAACATGACTGGCCTGCACAAAGCCCTTACCTCAACCCCATCGAACACCTTTGGGATGAATTGGAACGCTGACTGCAAGCCAGGCCTAATCGCCCAACATCAGTGCCCGACCTCACTAATGCTCTTGTGACTGAATGGAAGCAAGTCCCCGCAGCAATGTTCCAACATCTAGTGGAAAGCCTTCCAAGAAGAGTGGAGGCTGTTATAGCAGCAAAGGGGGGACCAACTCAATTAATGCACATGATTTTGGAATGAGATGTTTGACGAGCAGGTGTCCACATACTTCTGGCAATGTAGTGTATATCTTATTTTCTCTGCTCTGCTGGAGGGAGACACAAACAGACAGACAGACAGACTGAGACCCTGGTGCACGTTTCCACCCAATCTGGTCCTTTCTGCCACCGCAGCCAGCCAACTGAACCAGCGGTTGTGGTGTGGTGGCCCTGCATCTACCACGTTAAGAGCCAGGCCACTGCAATGCAGGCCTCCTGGCCTGGCAAACAGCAAGGTGAGAAATACTAAGAGAGTTATTCCGCCAAAAGAAAAAAGACTTACACCTTGGTTGGACTGGGAGATGGCGACAGTACAGTATGCCTTTTCCACTGAGCAACATGAGCCACTTACCAGTCTCTCCCTGCTGGCCCCTGCCACTATCTGGAGAGCCGAGCAGCAACAGCTGAGATATTAGATAATAAACTTTGTCTGGAGACTTGAACAGGATGTTCTCTGTTGCAGTGATAGTGGGGCCAGATTAGCCCCAGTAATATGATAGATATCCTTCGTTGACATTCACATTCCTTGAAGGCAAGGCGGTGGCGGAGATGGCGTCTCTTTCAGAGAAGAAAGGCACATTTTCGCCATTTCTCTGGAATGTTTATTGGAAATGCTGCATCACTGGTTCCAGGAAGGGAGTATTAGAGATACTGCCGGGGGGCGGAAGGAGAGATGAGAGCTCGATGGGACAGTGTATCGTGCAGGAGAGAGTGTGACAATGAAGGCATTGAGAGTGAGAAGGAGATGGAAAGAGAGGGAGAAGGAGAAGACCGTCTGACTGGTGGAAGACTTCCCCAGTCTCCTAATCTGGTTAGGTTGCTCATTTAGCTCTAAGGCAGAGGAGTTAGCCTGATTACTTCTCTCCCTGTCTCTGGCAGCAGCCAGCCACAACAACAGATCCAGACAGCAAACTAACAAGACGTTGATTGAGCTTGAGTCAAATGAGGATGCATAGACATGAATGATAGAGCGTCTGCTAAGCTCCTACACCTTTGAAAGGGTAGCTACAGGGGGACTACCCTACATCTCAGTGGATGCTTATGGGAGGAGCTATGTGAGGACTCTGTTGTGGCCTATTTAAACATGATCTAATTTGGCCTGTGCCTATGATGTTTATATGACCTCAATGCTGATATGGTTCAATAATATAGCACATTTAATGTCCTAGTATACTTAGCATACGTATGTTGTATAATAGTATTTTTGGTGTAGTAGGAGTTTCAGTGACTAATAACAGACTCCAGTGGAGCCCTGGTGATGGAGTCCCCTCTCCCAGAGCACTTTGCGTGGTCCCCAGTGACACACACACACACACACACACACACACACACAGTGCTCCTCTGGGGCCTCTGCGGCTACAACTCCCTGAAGACACTGAGCTCTTAGTGTTGCTAATCTACTCATGGAGACAATATTACCACATTAACCTGGCCATTATTCTGCCACTCACACTTTCTGCAAGTGACTGGGCCTTTAGTACTATGGTATAAATGATTGTCATACATGTAATGTGTTAACCATTCTGGAAATACATTCTGCACTGTGTGTGACCCATTGCCGTAGCACCATGTATCAGTGAAAAAGGCTGTCATGATAGTTCCTGTCTCATGACCTAAAGTACTTTATGTATTAACCTCACTTTAATTGGATTGAGAACAATTATCTATAGAATAATACATATTGTTGGAAATCTATCATGTAATAAAGTATGTTGTTTTTCTGTCTTTGCAGTACATGGGCTGCATTGAGGTGTTAAAGTCGATGCGATCGCTGGACTTCAACACTCGGACCCAGGTGACGAGGTAAGCGAGGATTGATTCTGCCCTGCTAGTGATGAGTCAGTAGAACCCGATCTGAGTAGAAGGATAAGGTACACAAAACAGTCACAGTGATACCAAATCAGGTAGAGATTCACAGGCACGCCAGCCCTGCTTTTCACTGTAATGATATTACTAGCAAGGCCCAGAATATTGTGTATCTTGTAAACATCCTTTTGACTAAGCCATTGATGCATGTAAATGGCACATGTGAGCATTTGCTGTGTGTTTGTGTTACTGTGTGCACTCACACATTTACATGTGTGTTTATGTACAGTGGGGAGAACAAGTATTTGATACACTGCCGATTTTGCAGGTTTTCCTACTTACAAAGCATGTAGAGGTCTGTAATTTTTATCATAGGTACACTTCAACTGTGAGAGACGGAATCTAAAATCCAGAAAATCACATTGTATGAGTTTTAAAGTAATTCATTTGCATTTTATTGCATGACATAAGTATTTGATCACCAACTAACCAGTAAGAATTCCGGCTCTCACAGACTTGTTAGTTTTTCTTTAAGAAGCCCTCCTGTTCTCCACTCATTATCTGTATTAACGGCACCTGTTTGAACTCGTTACCTGTATAAAAGACACCTGTCCACACACTCAATCAAACAGACTCCAACCTCTCCACAATGGCCAAGACCAGAGAGCTGTGTAAGGACATCAGGGATAAAATCGTAGACCTGCACAAGGCTGGGATGGGCTACAGGACAATAGGCAAGCAGCTTGGTGAGAAGGCAACAACTGTTGGCGCAATTATTAGAAAATGGAAGAAGTTCAAGATGACGGTCAATCACCCTCGGTCTGGGGCTCCATGCAAGATCTCACCTCGTGGGGCATCAATGATCATGAGGAAGGTGAGGGATCACCACAGAACTACATGGCAGGACCTGGTCAATGACCTGAAGAGAGCTGGGACCACAGTCTCAAAGAAAACCATTAGTAACACACTACGCCGTCATGGATTAAAATCCTGCAGTGCACGCAAGGTCCCCCTGCTCAAGCCAGCGCATGTCCAGGCCCGTCTGAAGTTTGCCAATGACCATCTGGATGATCCAGAGGAGGAATGGGAGAAGGTCATGTGGTCTGATGAGACAAAAATAGAGCTTTTTGGTCTAAACTCCACTCGCCGTGTTTGGAGGAAGAAGAAGGATGAGTACAACCCCAAGAACACCATCCCAACCGTGAAGCATGGAGGTGGAAACATCATTCTTTGGGGATGCTTTTCTGCAAAGGGGACAGGACGACTGCACCGTATTGAGGGGAGGATGGATGGAGCCATGTATCCCGAGATCTTGGCCAACAACCTCCTTCCCTCAGTAAGAGCATTGAAGATGGGTCGTGGCTGGGTCCAGCATGACAACAACCCGAAACACACAGCCGGGGCAACTAAGGAGTGGCTCCGTAAGAAGCATCTCAAGGTCCTGGAGTGGCCTAGCCAGTCTCCAGACCTGAACCCAATAGAAAATCTTTGGAGGGAGCTGAAAGTCCGTATTGCCCAGCGACAGCCCCAAAACCTGAAGGATCTGCAGAAGGTCTGTATGGAGGAGTGGGCCAAAATCCCTGCTGCAGTGTGTGCAAACCTGTTCAAGACCTACAGAAAACATATGATCTCTGTAATTGCAAACAAAGGTTTCTGTACCAAATATTAAGTTTTGCTTTTCTGATGTATCAAATACTTATGTCATGCAATAAAATGCAAATTAATTACTTAAAAATCATACAATGTGATTTTCTGGATTTTTGTTTTAGATTCCGTCTATCACAGTTGAAGTGTACCTATGATAAAAATGACAGACCTCTACATGCTTTGTAAGTAGGAAAATCGGCAAAATCGGCAGTGTATCAAATACTTGTTCTCCCCACTGTATGTATGTGTGTCTGTGTACGTGTACACATGAGATGCTGGTGCTATGAAGGTGGCCAGGCAGGGCTCCTTGCCTGAGTTGGAGCAGTGCAAGCGCTCTTTTTTTTATTTTTCCTTATTTTTTTTATTAAGTTTATTTGGACAGGGACAATGTACAACAAAAACATACATCTCAGAAGTGAGAAGTGATGCGTTGCACCAGATATTATCTTACAGCTAATTTAAATCTGCAGTCCCCGGGCACGTGAACATATAAACATGAAAATGTTATATGCAAAAGGACAACATACATACACTACCGTTCAAAAGTTTGGGGTCACTTAGAAATGTCCTTGTTTTCGAAAGGAAAGCAATTTTTTGGTCCATTAAAATAACATCAAATTGATCAGACATACAGTGTAGACATTGTTAATGTTGTAAATGGCTATTGTAGCTGGAAACGGCTGATTTTTTTAAATGGAATATCTACATAGGCGTACAGAGGCCCATTATCAGCAACCATCAGTCCTGTGTTCCAATGGCACATTGTGTTTGCTAATCCAAGTTTATCATTTTAAAAGGCTAATTTAGAAAACCCTTTTGCAATTATGTTAGAACAGCTGAAAACTGTTGTGCTGATTAAAGAAGCAATAAAACTGGCATTCTTGAGACGAGTTGAGTATCTGGAGCATCAGCAATTGTGGGTTCGATTACAGGCTCAAAATGGCCAGAAACAAATAACTTTCTTCTGAAACTCGTCAGTCTATTCTTGTTCTGAGAAATGCTATTCCATGCGAGACATTGCCAAGAAACTGAAGATCTCGTACAACGATGTGTACTACTCCCTTCACAGAACAGCGCAAACTGGCTCTAACCAGAATAGAAAGAGGAGTGGGCGGCCCCGGTGCACAACTGAGCAAGAGGACAAATACATTAGAGTTTCTAGTTTGAGAAACAGACGCCTCACAGGTCCTCAACTGGCAGCTTCATTAAATAGTACCCGCAAAACACCAGTCTCAACGTCAACAGTGAAGAGGCGACTCCGGGATGCTGACCTTCTAGGCAGAGTTGCAAAGAAAAAGCCATATCTCAGACTGGCCAATAAAAAGAAAAGCTTAAGATGGGCATTTTTATTTCTATTAGTTTTAAGATTTTCATTTAAAATTCCATTTAGTTTAAGTTACTTTTCAGATCTACTTTACTAGTTGTTTAAGTTTTATAAAACATTTATATTTCGTTTTTATATTATTTAGTTTCAGTTTTTGTTTTAGTATTGGGGACAGAAAGTAGCCTATGCGTGGGAGGCTAGGAGCCATTTATGTGTTGTGTATATATCATTTTTTTTGGTGGGGGTGATGTCACTTCTTGCCACTGTCGGGCAGAAATGCATAAGGTGAAGGGTCATAGGATAGGTTAGGTTTAAAGGTAGACTTACAGTAGCGAGATGACGTAGATGCGCGAAGTAAACAGTAGTAGTGGGTCAATTTCCGCAACAACCAGGAGCGTTGAACCGCTGTTTTGGTCCCGTAGCTACCACGTTGTAGCAGGGTGAAGAACCCGTGCACATGCGCAGATACTCTGTTTGACTGTGTGAGAGCAAAGTCTTGCATCGTGCTCATCTCAATCGGCGAGTTCGAGCGGATCACTTTTGTCAAGTCACTTTCAAAGTGTGTTGCATTCTGGGGATAAAGATTGTCTGACTGGCTCCTACATATAGACTGCATGAACTTTACAAAAATCATGTGATCAAAGGTCATGAAGTTTTGACTGCAGTCGACCAAAGACATGACTGAAACAGGAACCAATTTGCCGTGATTTATGTGTACAGTGGATATACAAATAAATGTGATATTTGAGGCTCTGTCTCGCTAATTGATTGTACAATGTGTGCACACATAATATTATATTATGATTTCAGTTTGTGAGTGTGTGATATGAGGGTTAGATACATGTTTATTTCAACATCATAAAGAAAACCTTTTATAAACAATGGCAACACTGCCATGTTGATCTGAGCCTTACTGTTGGAAAACCACATTAGTGTTTCGGATTTTCGTCTGTCGCAGATGAACCTTCTCCGACTTAATTCCTCGACTGTCGTCTACAGTCGGTTGCTTTATCTTTACCATTCAAACGTGCCCAATATCTGCGGTGCTGCTCGTGGCAACGTCATCTTGCTGTCTACCTTTAAATTAGAAAGTCAATGTCAATGTGACCCGCCAGATTCAGAAGTTTGAAAACCCCATAAAAAAAGCTTAAAACCCCATTCAATTTCTGCCCCCCCCCATAACTACAACTGAACATAATTCATGATGGTTTTATTTGATTTGAGTTCGTTTTGGAGTCAAAGATAATAGTTTCAGTATAGTTTTAGTGTTTCAAATGGGTTTGTTAATTATTTTATTTCAGTTTACTAAATTGTTTTTTGATGATTAGTTTTCATTTTCATTTCAGTTTTTGTTTACTTTAATAACCTTGCTTGCTTGTGACCCTGCTATTTTGGTCTGAGCAGAGGTTAAAAAAGACCCTCAGAGGTGGGGGTGCTACATTGTGTGTAATCTTGAACACCAGACAGATCTTTCTCTCCTCCATGATCGATTGCCAGTAATCTGAGCCCCCCACACACACAGGGTTTAAGTGCAGGAGAGAGGCAGAGATGGAGTGATGGAGAGATCTATTATTGATGATGTTCGCTAATGACTGTTGAGAGCTGAGCTGCAGTGGGCCACATGGACACTCCCCTGCCTGCCTGCTGGAATATGTCGGTAGGAGACAACAAGGAAGAATGAAGGAAGATGGAGAAGAGCAGAGATTGAAGATGGATGTATTTATGACAGTGTTAAGGCAAGATCTGTGATATAATGAACTTACCAAGGCTCTGTTTGAATAACTTAGTAGCATAATAAGAAGCTCAATTGTCATTGCTTTCAGAATGACATCTGTTTACACTATACCGTTATTGTTTAAGGATGTTGAAGAAGAGCTTGGGGATGGAATGTCTCCATCTAACCGTGGATTCCGGATTAATTTATTTAATTTAATTACATTTCGTTTAGTTTTTACTGTTCCACTTCTATTTGTTTTTTCCTGTTGTGTCTTTTCTGGAGTCACTTGTTATTGGCAGATTAAGAAAGCGCCTGACATTTCCCATGACACATATTCAAAGACTGACTGGAAAACACTGATTATCAGTCGGTCCAGCATGAGTCTGGAGGTCCTCTTTGACAGGTGTCAAAGTGTGATGGTTTTGGGCCAATATGCTACAATCCCACATTAAAAAATACTATATTATACTATG